ACCTTCATAGCAACGCTCTACGCAGCACATATCGATGCGATAACATCGAACAACATCCGAGCAGGCTTTAGGGGCTCTGGTTTGCACCCCTTCGACCCTAGTGTTGTGTTGTCCACGTTAGACCCGACATTTTCATCACCTTCGCGGCCTCTTTCACAAGGTTCATGGTACACAAAGACCCCAAAGACTACTCAAGAAGTTGATCAGCAAGCTACATTGATCAAACGGAGGCTTGAGAGGCATCAGAGCAGTTCACCAACTCCGATATTCGAAGCCTTAGACCAACTTTCCAAAGGAGCTCACATGATCGCTGCTTCAGCAGCTCTTCTTCAATTACGAGTTACAGATCTTGAAGCAGCTAACACAGCAATGCATGTACGCAAATCAAGAAAGAGGAAGTCGCTTCTAACAGAGGATGCTTTGTCAGTCCAAGCAATCCAACAATTAGTAGACAAAGATGAGGTAGAAGCGCAAATAATAGAGGAGATGCCAAGGCCTGCCAAGCGGACAGCGAGGTGTAGCAAATGCAGATCAACAGCTCATACAGCCAGAACTTGTATAGCATAAGAGATAGTATTAACGTATCATAATTCTCAATTTGAAGGCCTAAAGGTCATTGTTCATTAAGATATTAATTGTTGAATGCAGCGCATTGAAAAAGCGTGTTCCGCGCCCCCGTGTGTTCCGCGCTCACGTGGCCCGCGTTATTAAGAGAGAATACGTAAGCAAAAGGAATAAGAGCGTACCGTAGAGGCTACAGAGGCACTCCGGAAGTAGTAGCAGCAATAAGAAGAAGCACGTAAGCGGGAGGCGGCTACAGCCTAAGCAAGATAGTATGCGAAAACTGAAGGAGTTTTCAGGGCTGGTGCAGCGAATAGTAGAAATTAGGACTGGTCTTCTCGCGACTATTACACAAACTCATTAGATGCATACGGCTCCTCGACTTCGTATGTGCACTATAGTTGGTGGCCGAAAATTCAGGGACGCGCTGTATGCCTAGTATGCGGAGAAGGGTAGACATACCTGCTGAAGTGTCCGAGCTGTTTAAAGCTCGCCTATCCTCGGTGTCAATATAATCTCAGACCACGAGCAACAGGACGGAATTTCAGGCAGTCGAAGCCTCCACCAAGTCCACCAACTTACTACGACTGGTATGACTAATCATCTATCTGGGTAGGATTCTTGCCGCTGGATTGAGTTGATCCTCTCTGATTCGGGTAAGATTCATCTCGACGGGCTGTTGCCTTAGCTCGTGCCTAAGGTGCGGAGAACTGCGTAAATAATTGAAGGTCCAGTGGTCGAACCTGGAGTAGTAGTTTATGGTTGCCTAGTGCTCAGCACATTGGACCTTGGAGGATCAACTGGAATCGAAATACCCACGTGCTTGAAATTCTTGTTTTGCTTCTCGAAAGGCTGCCAATGTAAGCAGAATGAGTGAAGAATAAATATTTGAAGTTGAATGTCATAAATACGTCAATCTATCATACTATGTCAAGAACTCACATGCGAAATCATCACACAATGATATCGTTCAAAACACCACCCACATCCTGAACAAGTCCGACCGCTGTCGAAATTCCAGCCTCAACGACATCATCCAGTGTTTGCAAGACTCCAATCGCAGCCGTAATGTTTCCGGCAGTGATGTTCAGGGCCCATGTTGCATCGATGTTCGGGACACCTGAGATAGTCAGTTTGTGGAATGCGTCGGGATAGGGCGTGTTAAGGCGTGGTAGAGTTGCAGATGCGCTATCGAAGGGCAACACCTTGCCTGGTCGGGCGGCAGCGTCACTTGGGTCTTCGTCTGTAGGTTCAGTGTCCGTAGGATCAGTGTCCGTAGGAGCAATATTAGTTGGTGCGATCTCCGTAGGGTCCATTGGAGCAATGTCTGTAGGCGCGATCTCCGTAGGCGGGACATCCGTAGGCGCAACGTCCGCAGGTGGTATTTCTGTCGGCGAAATGTCCGTGAGCGGGAAGGTTGAAGGTGGAACGTCTGTTGGAGGGACCTCTTGAGCCGGAGATTGTAGTATCTGGCCGATCTGCGCCTGCCACATCCATGGGTCATCCTGGAATGTACCCTGGCCACGCGATCTGGCGCCGGTACTGTCCACGACATCACCTTCTTCGTCACCAAAGCCAGAATCGTGGTACTCCCAGCTGACAACGCCTCCAAAATTGGGATATGTGGCAACCAACTGAGAGATCGTAGCGACGTAGGTATATCGTGGGTACCAGCCGCTTCCACCGTCCTGGGGTGAGGAAAGAATACCCATCGCAACACGAGAAGGGTCGAAGCCATTGTTGATGATCGATGTGTATCCCACGGTCGAGCTTGCATCGCCCCAGCCGTTATAGAACTGAACGTTGAACCAGTCAATCAACTTTCCATTTGGCTTGTCTGAGCTGAGAGCTTGAGCATCGAGGTGCAGGTAGGAAAATCCGCCGAGTCCTCGGCCGGACGGCTCGAGATCGCTAGCCACTGGGGCCATGGTCAAGATGAACTCCCGACCGAAGTCGGCATGAAGTCGCTGTAGCAGTGCCAATGGGCAAGCCAAAGGAACCACTTCCTCGATGTCCAGATCGAGTCCATCAATTTTGTGAAGTTTGAGGGTCTTTTGCAGCGGCAGGTAGTATGCCTCATTCTGAATCGAGTCAGTATGTTTGCATTATCCTGTTGGTAATGCATTCTTACGAGGACGCTTCCAGCACCGTCACCACTGCACAGTCGCTGATAGGAGCCGGGCGCTGCACCTCCGAGCATCATCATTACTTTCGTGCCAGCCGATTGTAACAAAGCTGCTTCTGCCCAGATGACATCCCAATATGAAGAATCAATGTCGTTATCATTGAGGTGTATCACGCCGGGAGTGTCTTCGACATGTATTGCTGCTAAGATGGCATGTGTGACATGTGTTTGTTGATCTCGAATCGGGAGTAATGACATGTTGCCACCAGCTAGTGTGTTGAACGACTGGACGTATGTAGCTAGCCGTCGTGATTGCGCATCTGTGTTCTTGTGTGCGTCTGTATCATTGCGCGTTGACAAAGGAAAGGCCAATGAGAGGGCGGACCAGCCCATGAACCACACGGTAGAGATACGCATGTCTGCTGTTGCCAAGATTTGATGATCAAATGAATGGAAGGTTTGAATGATGATCTCAGCAAAAAGGCGGCGGCATCGATATAAGTATAGTTGTTTGCATGCGTCACATCGTGGTAGAAGCATACGGTGACGATGCCACAAAGCACTTGTAAAGGCCACAGAGCAGTCGGCAGACGAGTTCCATGGTAGCTTGCTATGATGTGAACCATCGGTTCAGCTCGAGATTGAGCACTTTCGGGCGGATGTTGTGGTTGGAGTCAATATCACAGGACATTTCATGTTCGATAACCTTGCCATTCGACAAGCAAGAAGTCACCCATGGAGTAATTCATCGACACTGGGGGCTGGCAATCATGCGTTGAAGCAACGTGCTAGGGTTGCCCCAGCCTGATCGAACCACTCTTCTGAGCGCACGCGGGGAGTGCGGCGGAAGTTCGACCATCTCATTTCACGAGCAGCTTTGTGTGCTGCAGAAAGAGTTTGTGCGCAATTGCATGAGGTTGGAGCGAGGCTGTTGAAAAGTGGTTATTTCATCTGCAGGCGCGTGCTTGTGAACGCTGAACTTTCAGGGTGACGACCCGTAAAGGGTGGTGGTATGGCATTTCCAGCCTCATACAAGATCCGTCTTCAACGGTCGAGAGCAGACTCGAAGGGTTGTCAAGCAGACGTCATTTTTATGATTGCGAACAAGAATCCTTTCGCCAGGCATAAAGGACTCAGAGCAATCATTAAAGCGCGTTATGAACAATCTGGACGGGTGTCTGATGGTACAAATGTGAAGAATCACGTCAGTGTTTGGCCTCATTGATGAGAGGTGTAGGTGTTCTCCCTGTTATTAGACCCTTGAAATTGTGGCCGTGAACATTTGGTTGCGAGTCTGTGCACGCGCCCCCACCACCAACACGACGACGCATTGCGAATGCCGACAACCATCGCACCGCCACGAAACGTTTTGAGACTCGAACCATATATTTCATACATTTGCTATTCACCTTAACTAAGCAGGCCACGTTGAAGCCGTTAAGATGAGTGGTAACAAGATGTGGGAGGTCGATCCGGAGACTCGGAGCAAACTCCAGGCGATAGCAAAGACGAATGGTAACAACAAGTGCGTCGACTGTGGAGCGCCGAGTCCTCAATGGGTATGCAATTGACGCGGTCGCAACGGCAGGTAATGAATATTGACAATACATCCTCAAAGGCTTCGCCTAAGCTGGGCATCTTCTTTTGCCTCGCGTGCTCCGGAATTCACCGATCATTGGGCGTACACATCTCCTTCGTGCGCTCAGTCACCATGGACGCCTTCAAAACTGCCGAAGTACGGCGGATGGAGCTCGGCGGTAACGAGCCTTGGGTAAACTTCTTCAACGAACACAATAGCAACACTCTTGTTGGACGCGACTTCGAGAGTTGCACTATCGCCGAAAGATATGATAGCGAGGCGGGCGAGGAATGGAAAGAGCGATTGACAGCAAAGGTCGAGGGAGTGGAATACGTGCCTGGCGTGCCCAAACCGAAGGCGAAACCTGCACCTGTCACCAACAATGCAGCGTCATCGCTGTCAAGTTCGGGGCGGAATACTCCTCTCTCAAATACACGATCGTCGGCAGCTCCTCAACGGACAGTTTCGCCCTCACAAAAGGCGCAAAACGAGGCATACTTCTCTCGTATGGGCGAAGCGAATGCTGGTCGGCCAGCTGATCTTCCACCAAACCAGGGCGGGAAGTACGCAGGCTTCGGCTCTTCAACAATGCCACAATCCTCCACATCATCTGGGGGCATCCCCTCGACAGATGAATTCCAAAAGGATCCATTGGCCGCTCTAACAAAAGGATTCGGCTGGCTCTCAAGCACTGTGACGAAGCAAGCGGCAACCGTCAACTCACAGTACATCCAACCAGGCATGAAAAGCATCGCGGACGGCGAATTCGCCGCGCAAGCACGCGCGACGGCATTGCAACTGGGCACTACAGTACAGCAAGGCACAAAAGGACTAGGCGACCAATTCAACAAGTTCGTCGACCCGGACGCGCACAACGGACCCGGCGGCCGAGCAGCGCCCGTCGACCCAGGCAAACGCGACTTTTGGGACTCCTTTGGAGCCGATCCAGCCGGTCCGCCGAAAGAGAAGAAGGATTTCTGGGATGATTTCGCCGCGGCAGGAGAGGCCGTGGGTCAACAGCAGAAGCCCAAACCGACGAGTATTGGCACAAGTGCGATGAAACCTGCGAGCACAACTCCTACGACGGGCGGCGCATCCGCCTCAGGGGCGAAGGAAGACAGTGGGTGGAGTGATTGGTAGACCTGGACGGTTAAGGTTGCGCGTGGAGTTCCAAACGCATTGAGCGTGGCGTTGGTGGTTGGCATGAATATGCCTGGCATGTCGGCGACCGGAGAGAGATTTTATTAAGCGAAGCGAGAGAAGTGAGGTGCAACATTTATTTGACGACTTATATCTTGCAAAGCACTTCTTGTCGCGTCGAACCGCCCATAACAGCAACATTCTTCACCTCTTGGTCGTACAAGGAATCATGTTTCATTTAATTTGCATCACAACCATAATGGATGCCTGGTCAGAACAACTCTCACAAACAAAGAAGACAGCACTTTCAAAGAGCGACGACCATCTTATCCTCCTGGACTGCTGTACACAGTCGTGCCATTGCTCCCAAAGTCGAGATCTTTGACGCTCGAGTCTGATCACAATCGATGCACCTTCCAGCGGTGTGCTGTGAAAATCGTCTGGCACCGGCTTCCTCCGTGCACAGGCTCGGACCAACGCTTCGGAATCGCTGTCCCAATGCACGTGTGAGGCAACAGTGCAGCAGAGATATGAGGTCAGAGCCTCGTAGATGTGCACGGTGATTTCCGGCAGGCGGCAGGTAGGGCGATTGGAGATCTCGGTCGTCAACCAGGAGAAGTACAATCATTTGCGCGCATTCGAAAAGTGTTGTAGCAATCCGGTTACCTTGTCCCTGCTGCTCGGCGAACACGTTGTCCGCGTGGTCGATGTATTTCACCTTCGAGGCTCTAGTCGTGGAAAACGCCTCAGCGCAGACGCCGTGGCCACTTTCCATCCTTGGCTCGCATCGGAATGCTGTTGACTGGGCTCCTTTCATGGCACCACATCCAACGCTGATCTTCTCGGCTTGAGTTCGGTACAAAGCGATCAAGTTACGCGTGCATTATGACCTCCAGTGCGACTTCTGCTCGCCGCCGAAGAACTTCCAAGCCCTGAGGTAACGTTCAGGTGTGAGTGTCTTTCGAAGTTGCAAGATATCCGTCGTCTTGTCTTGACGGTAGCGTTTTTCGGTGACGAAGGGAGTCATCTGATGAAGGAGGCTATGATCAGCACAAACTACAACCGGCATCTCCCATTAGGAACTCCACTCACATTGAAGTCGGTCAAGTCCGGACAGACGAATGTTCGGACCTTTGTGTAGTCAAGTACGTAGCCACCCCATTTAGTATGTCGGCCCATGGCACCTGTACGGTTTCCCTTGTAATAGTTATGAGGTCCTTGCTTGGTCGTGAGCGCAAGTCGCCGAAGCGAGCGCTGGAGCGGTGCTGTAGGCTGCATTTTCGATCACTGGGAATTATGATGGAGTTGCACCCGGGCACGCAGATTGTTAATAACCGAAGTTCGCGGTCGGCTGCGCAATTGATAGCCTGCGAATGTTGTGATCTCAAGTGTGGATATCCATGAGCGAGTCTCTTTCCATTGCGGATACTTCGGAGGTGAGCTCGGACCACCCATGACTACACCGACGATGCCAAGATTTTGGTCCAAATCGATAACGGGAAACTTTTTCGTACCTTTAGATTCGTTTACAGCCCTCAGGCCTCACAGTCGTAACTGCAATAATATTCTTGTTGCGCACCCACAATTCCTATTGCGAAAATGCCAGCCCGGATATCGAGGGCAAGCACCTCTGCAGCTGCGCCCAAGACCGCTAAGAACAAAAACAAGAAGCGATCCATCGACGCCTACTCAGCGGCGACGAAATCACTTCCCGCTCAGCGCATTCCACGAAACCGCCTTGGTGAGGTAGAAGATGAGCCTAGACCAAAGCGCCGCCGGGAACAAGACGAGGACGAGGACGAAGAGGATGCAGAGGAAGAAAAATCTCGAAGGAAGCGACGTACAAAAGGCGCGCCTGGCGACGACAACGTTGAGTATGGCAGCGATAGTTCAGGCAACGAGTGGACGATGGGTGGTCTCGCCGAGGATGATGAGGACAGTGATATCGACTCCGACGAAGCATTCGGCGAATCGGACGAGGAACGATTCTCCGGGTTCACGTTTCGAGGATCTTCCTCAAGTGGCAAGAATAAAGCTGCCGCGCGATCAAAGAAGCGATCGCTCAAATCCAAATCATCCGACGCAGCCATAGAATTAGACGAGGAGGAAAGTGATGAGTTTGATGACGGTGATAGTGAAGATGATGTCGGTGCAGGTTTTGGGGAGGACGGTGTCGACCTGGCTGCTATGCTGGACGACGATGATGAAGAGATGTTGGGCTCCAAAGATACAACGACGCGGGACATGGGAGAGGATGACAGCGGCGAAGAAGGCACTGACGACGACAGCGAGGATGATGTGGAGTCGGAAAGTGACGAAGGCGACGACGAGGACGATGTTGCTGACGAGGAGAAGATTGCACGCATGAGGGATCGCTTGGAGGCCATTGATACATACAAGAGTAGGGACAAACAGGCGGCTATTGCTCCGTATAGCGCAGCCACGTTGGACGACTTTCTCGCAGACACCGCCTTGGACAAAGATGTTCTCGCTGGTTCCAAATCCAAGAAGCGGCAGCTGGCAAAGGCATCTGCTATTGCTGCGCCTCTCCCTCCACGACAGCAAAGCCGACTTGATCGCCAGGCCGCAACTGAAAAGGCAAAGGAGCAACTTGATCGATGGAAGGACACGGTGGTCAAGAATCGGCGAGCTGATTTTTTGAACTTTCCGCTCCAGAAACCCGAAGATCAAGCTGCGACGGTCGGTCGCAGCAAGTTCGCACCTGTTGTGGGGGAAGCACCGCGCAATGAATTGGAAGAGAGCATACAACGTATCATGGAGGAATCAGGTCTAGCTTCACAAGGTCTTGTCGGTGAGGGTGAGGCTGCTGGTGACGAGGAGGGCGCACTTCTGAAAAGCGAGGATCTTTCAGCCAACAAACTACCACTCGAAGAGGTTATGCGACGACGCGCTGAGCTACGGCGTGCACGAGAGCTTCTATTTAGGGAGGAATTGAAGGCAAAGCGCATTTCCAAAATCAAGAGCAAGGCATATCGCAAAGTACATCGGAAAGAGCGGGAACGCTTGGCTGAGCAAGAGCGCCAGGAGAAGGCTGAGATGGGCATCGAGGACGAAGATGAGAGGGAGAAAGCAGATCGAATGAGAGCCGAATCAAGAATGGGAACGAAACACAAGGAATCCAAATGGGCAAAGTCGCTCAAAGTCTCGGGCCGAGCGGCTTGGGACGATGACGCCAGGGACGGGGTTTATGAGCAAGCGAGACGCAAAGAAGAGTTGAAAAGACGTATCGCAGGGAGGGACACCTCTGACGGCGAGCAAAGCGACGAAATAAGCGAAGACGAAGACCATGACGATGACAATCAAGATAACAATAACAGTGTCATGTTGAAATCACTAGACCATTTACAGCATGATGATAATGAGGGCAAAGGATTGGCCGGAATGAAATTCATGCTCGCCGCGGACGAGCGTCGGCGCAAGGCAAATGAGGAAGACGTACAGCGTCTGAGGAAAGAACTTGCGGTACAGGACGAGGACGAGGACGAGGAAGACAAGGACATGGGTGAAGGGCTCGGTCGCGCCATATTTGGCCCTAACCCTACCACTTCGCTACCTGTGAAGCAGAAAGGAAAGCGACTTGAGTTTGAGGCGCCAGAAGCGTCTGATGAGGAGGATGATGCTGCGCAGGACGATTCCGGAATTCTAGTTAACGGCAGCACGCGACCGAAGATTGACGCCAGAGGAAACAAACAGAAGAGCGCGCTGTCTAGGGATCGGTCAATCACGAAGTCAACAAGTAATGATGAGGTCAAATCCCTCAAGGAGCAAATATCTTGGCTGCAAGCACCAAAGGGTAAAGATAAGAAGAAGGTTGCGGATGCGCAGGTTGACCTGGACCTTGACCTTTCAAACGCTGTGCCATCGAATCTGAACGAGGCACGTCGCAAGCCGCAGACTGTTGACAACAGGACTTCACAATTGCCCGAGAGCTCAGCTGGCGATACCTCTGGATGGACGAGCGTTTCCCTTTCCAAGGAAGCGGCAGACTCGGATTCTGCCGACGAGGAGGACCCCAACCCCTTGCAGGAGAATGCCTCGCTTAAGCAACGAGCGTTCGCTGGCGATGACGTGCAGATTGCATTTGACGCGGAAAAGGCCGACCTCGAACTTTCCGAAGATGAGAAAGAGGTCTCCTCCTACCTACCAGGTTGGGGTGCCTGGGCTGGCGAAGGCCTATCAAAGAAGGACAAGAAAATCAACACACGCACCAAACATAATCCGCTCTTCAAAAGCAAGACCGCCGGCGTCAAGCGCGCAGATCGACAGGACGCCAAGCTCAAGAACGTCATTATCAGCGAGAAGAACGAGCGGAAAGGACGGAAATACCTGGCGCCTGTGCTACCTCATGAGTTCGAAAACAAGGAGCAGTATGAGAGGAGCCGACGATTGCCGATGGGCCCCGAGTGGACTACAAAGGAAGTCCATCAGAAGTCTACACAACCGAGGGTTGTTGTCAAGGCTGGTGTTGTGGTCAATGCCTTGGAAAGACCAATTGTGTAAGGGTTGTGATGCTCGAGTGGACAGTCCGTCCTGTGCCATTTCGATATATTGGGGGATTGTGATGGATCGAATGTCATCCGGGTGTCAGCCCGCTGTTAGCATTTTCAATTACGTCCCGAGCATTGATGGACTTTAATGATGATGATCATATATCTTTGGTTCCACAGATACAATTCCTCCTGGAGGTCGCTTACGACAGAGTTCCATCCTGCTTGGATACCGACGTTTAATATCGCAAGCTCTTAGGGTGTAGTATACCTCGAGATGTTCTAGTAGCTCTGGTGTTCTTGAACTCAGGCCATATGCAGATAACAGTCCGGTTTTATTCCATACCGAGATTTTTGGATCATATAACCGCGGACAGTGCTTCTTTGAATCGATGCGACACATAACGCGATAAAAAAAACATGCCGAACGGAAGAAAACTACACAAGTGTCGCACAGCCATTCAAATGTAGTATTCGGAATACCCCAACAAACCTTATATCGAATATGGATGAGGTCAGCGCGACCAATGGGCAGGAAGGACGGCCAGTTTCCTGCCCGTGACGGCGAAGCGGCCTCTGTCCTTCTTGCACAATATACTTTGCTCAATATATGTCTCAAGGTCGATTCCGCGTCGCTCTGATCCTTTAGAGCAGGAAGTCCGTCGGATAATTGTTCTTTGTGAGCTCGCATTTTTGCAGACAACAATGCGGGTGGCGCTCTTCGCAGGTCTCGTCGCGCTTGCCGCTGCCGCAAGCCAGCCGCAGCAGCCACCGCGGTACACTGGCGTCGTCTCCGAAGCTTTCGGCAGCTGTATCTTCAATCAGCATGAAGGCTCACCTTTGCAAGTCGATCTTGGCTACGACATCTACAAAGGCAGACTTGATAGAAATAGGAACCACAACATTTTCCAAGGGTGAGATGGTGACGAAAGCTACATTCATCCTCGCCGCTGCTGGACAGATCTGATTGTTTGCTATGCAGGATCCGCTTTGCGCAAGCTCCTGTCGGCAAGCTACGATGGCAGGCGCCACAGCCTCCGTTGATCAACCGGACTGCTGTCATCGATGCTTCCTTCTTCAGCAAACAGTGCCCGCAAAGTCCGGGAGCGTCACTCGACCTCGCTGTCACTGACAATGGCGAAGGCTCCGAAGACTGCCTATTCTTGAACGTGTGGACCCCAAGTAATGCCACAAGTGGTCCACTGCCGGTGTTAGTTTGGTTCCATGGTGGTGGCTACGGTCTTGGAAATGGTCGTAACGACCCAGGTCCCTTGATCAGTACAAGCGGGAATCGCTTCGTCGTCGTCACGACACAATATCGTCTCGGCGCATTTGGATTTCTCGCGTCTGATGAAGTCCACCGTCGCGGCGTGGTCAATGCCGGTCTTCTCGATCAAGAAGCTGCTTTGAGATGGGTACAGAAGTACATTCATCACTTCAATGGAGACCCGGACCAGGTGACAATTTTTGGTGAGAGCGCAGGTGCGGGAAGCGTCATGCTGCTGGATGTAGCGTATGGCGGCACGCTCGGGACATCACTGTTCAGAGGCTCCATCGCCGCGAGTCCATATCTACCAATGTATGTCAAAGCTATCGCTGGCTGGCTTCAGAAACGAATACTTACCAATTCGACAGGCAGTACGGCTACAGGGACTGGATCCCGTCACAGGCATATTATGCTTTTGCCTCGGCGGCTGGCTGCTATAACCATGAACCGTACGGTCACAAGCAATCAACCACCATCTTTGACTGTCTCGTCAAAGCCAAAACGTCTACGCTCATGAATGCGAGCGCAGATGTTTCTCAGGCGGGACTTTTCGGCACTTGGTAAGACAGCCATGATTTCCCAACGACCTATTACTAACATTGCTTTCGCAGGGCATTCCTCCCGACTACTGATGGAGCCTTTTTGCAAGACATCCCAAGCCGTCTCCTCCTCCAGGGTAAGGTCAACGGACTCAACGCTCTCGTAGGAAACAACGCCAATGAAGGCTGGGCATTCACGCCATCCATCATCTTCAACAATTCCGACCTCGTTTCCTGGCTCCATCGCACATTCCCGCTCTTTTCCAACAACGACATCGCTCGCGTGCTGAACCACTACCCGCCAGAAGACAACTCTACTGCGTTCGAATCGCCTCCCTACAATACTTCACATGATCGTGCCGCTCTCATCTTCGGCGAAGCGACCTTCGTGTGCCCAAGCTACTGGCTCGCCGAAGCCTACGCGAATAGCGAGCAGATGCAGAGTTTCAAGTACCAATTTTCACCCGTTCCAGCGCTGCACGGCAATGATGTCGCCGCCTATTTCTCGACACCGGGGACGGCACCGAATTCCGCAGACTTGCAGGAAGCATTCCAAAGTCTAATAGGGAACTTTGTCATAAACTCGAATCCGTCCATAGCCAATAAGGTCGCCAATGGGGTTTCCGCTGGGAACAACGCCACTGCTAACCCGGCGAGTACATGGCCGCCTTTTTCATCTTGGGCGCCGTTGCAAATTGATCTCAATACAACTTGTGATGGGTTGGGCGTTACCCGTGTGCCGTTCGGCTACGGAGCCCCTTTCTTCTACTGCGATGGACCTGGAGTGAAGAATAATATCACATTGACGAATGCATACACTACGGTTCGTGGACGCGGAGCGAGATGCGAATTCTGGAGGGCAATGGGAGATCGAGTGCCGGGATGAGAATTACAAAAGAAATTTGCAGTAAACGGAATCGATGTTTGGAAATGAGTCAAGGGCCAGATGCCATTATATATAGTGTGTGTGTCGGCAGCGATCAACAAAGCCAAAGTTCGACTTCATCTTTCGGAACGGGCGACTTTTTCTTGTCTTCGTCACCATCGTCTTCATTTGGATCGTTCTCCTCCTGTGCGGGTTTGGACCCAGCTTTAGTGGCTGCCAACCTCCTCGCAACTTCGTTTGCTTCGTTGAGCGTGACAAGTTTCCTCTTGGCCTGTCCTTGACGCTGTAACTCAGCAAAGGTCTCTCGCAATAGACGCAATGTCTTCAGACGATCGCTCTCGCCCGATTCGGGATCATCTCCTTCCTCGGCGGGAACAAAGCTCTTTGGGGATTGTTCAACAAGGTCGCTTCCCCAATCGCTTGGTAGACCGCGGGCCCTGGCGGTGCGATTGCGGCGGTTCCAGTCCGAGCCGAGTGGGACAGGGTTGCCGACGATTTTGCCGATCTCCTGGTCTTCGACGATCTCCAAAGGCGTCCTTCCGGTGGAGTCTTCGCGAAGCAGGAGACCAGGGTTGTTGCCGAGGATAATCCGTGCGATGTCCCAATCCGACTTCTGTACTGCATTGTGGAGTGGTGTGTGGCCAGCGCCGTCCACGAAGTTGAGCGTGGTGCTGGCTTCGGAAAATCTCAAAAGATATTCTAGAACCCAGGATCGTGCAGAGTTGAACTCCTTGGCCTCTGCAAACCTGCAGGTCCAAAGCGACAGTGGGGAGTGCGTACCGCATCCAGCAGAGGTGCGCTCGGCAAAGAGGGTCGGCAGCAGACGAGCGTCGAGCAGTTCGAAAACTTTGGGGAGCACAATCTCCCATTCTTCCTTCTTCATGTTCAGTGCTAGAACGTGATGTAAGAGATTCCGACCTTCTACATCGCGACATGTCTGGTCTGCCCCAGCTTCGATCAGGATCTTGGCAAGTTCGAAATGCTTCAACTGGAAGGCGATGCTCAATGCAGTCCTCCCGTTTGACGACTTTGTGTCAATGTTGTCCGGCATGACCTTGATCAAGTATCGAAGCACCCGCGCTGAGTGAGGTCCTTCTTTCAAACCCAGCACGCAGCAGTGTAGCGCAAGATGAGACCGAGCGTCGAGAAACCTCTGCACTGTTGCAGTAAAGCCACCTGGAGCTTCAGCGAGCAGCTTGATACGTTTGTCTTCTTCGTGTTTCGTTGCAAACTCTTGGTAACACCGGATGGGGGCATCACTTGAGAACCACTCGATATTGGCGAGTGCTGAAACATGACAAGCGTGAAGCAACGGCGGTGTCGGATCATCGATGTTATCTTGTCGCATACTGCGTCGTCCAGCTTCTGCCCAGGCTTTGCGTTTCTTGCCGTAGACAGAGAGGCCTAGATAGGTTTTTGGTTTATCCTTGGGCTTTACACCAGAATCTTTCGCCAAGCGCTCAAAGGAGAGGCCAACGCCCGTACGGGTGATGATCTCGGCCATGATCTGAGGCTTGTCAACAAGGATAGCATTAGAATAGTCATTATCAGATATGGTGTAGAATGTCTTGGGTCCATCGTCGTCGTTCTGTGACTCGGTCCTGAGGTACTGCTCGCCCAGTTGAAGCAAATAGCGAAGCAACGTGATATCTTCCTTGTGCAAAGCATATTGGATGAGACTCCACGGATTAGAGCCAGATTCTTTACACGGTTCCGGTGTTGGGGCAGTGGGACTAGGAGGAATATCGATGAATTTATGAGCTGGGAAGGCCTTTTCCAGGAGAGTCAACGGCTTGACTTTGCTCTTCACCTGGGTGGAGACTTGACCGATGGTCTCGATGGTAAATTGTTGATCCACGAGCTCACTGTAAAGCCGGATTTCGTCATCGCCGCCAACTTCAGAACCGTCACTGTCTTCAGACCAGTATTCACGCACACCGCCATCGAGCCTGTAATGTTTCTTGACGGGCGCATCTTCAGGAACATACTGAGCCTGTGCGATTTCCATGATGACTGTCGCAAGTTGGAGATGCCCGCGCAGAACGGCGAGGGAGAATGGGGTGAAATTAGATTGATCTCCTGTCGCGATTTTCAGAGGTGGCTGCTCTTCGCCATCGGAGTTCTTCCAGGTTGATAAGGTCAATTCCTTGACGAGGTGAATATCACCATCCCAGGAAGCCTCGAAGAGTCGCAGAAAACGCTCTGCTGTTTCGGTCCACTCTTGTTCAATCGAAGTGCTCCCAAATTTGAAGCAGACTTTGAAAGGTTTCGGCGCTTCAGGCTTCCAGGGTTGATATCCTGGATTCCAGATGTCGTTTGAACCAAGGGGAATATCAGGATGCAATTCCGCAAACGTCTTAGCACCTTTCGCCTTCAGCAGCGATTCGATGTCTTCAAATTCTTGCAGCATCGAAGCGATGACAGCTTGCTTTTCTTTGACGCCTGTCTGATCGTTGATGCTTGCATTTCTCTCATCGAATGTTTCCTTTGCTCGCTCGTATTCCTTCTTGCCATCGGAAATTTGTTGGCGAACCGACCAATGGGCGTACGATCCCGCTTTGTGACCTGACAGATATTGCTCGTCATTTCCAAGAGCAAAAGGAGCGTCGATCTTCTCGGGTTCATGCTTCCATTCCTTGAGTGCCTTAATTTTTGCTCGAACAACGTCGAGCAGACTTTCGCCTCTGTCGCGATTGTTCTGGCCGGCTGTAACCGCGGCGAAACCTTCTCTTGATAAGGTGTTGACATCGATTCCGTGAAACTCCAGCAATATGCGAACAAGCGAGGGAAGCTCTTCATGAACGGCGCAGATGATTGGCTGGTCGATTTGTCGCTCAAAGTCAGACCTCGGTTTGTTTCGCTGCCAGCTATCAAGGTCTTCCTTTGACTCGTAGTACTTCATACATTCAACGATATCCACATAGGGTTTTGCACCACAGCTCAGCAGCTTTAGCGCGGTCAAGCTGTCTTTGGCTTCGATGGCGTGAAGAAAAGCATTTTGGAAGCTGAAGGTCCATCGGTTATAGGGTGATGCGAATGCATTGACGGCCCGGTCGACTCCTGCCTTGTCGGCGTCCAGAAGAACATCAATCATAGCTGGCTGTTCCACTACAGCATAGCTGAGGACAGTATTCCCAGTCAGGTCGGCCTGTGCTGTAGTTGCTCCAGACTGAAGCAAGGCTCTCGTCATTTCCTCAGCTTTCGCGAATGGCAGCTGAAGCGCCAGGACTAGGGTCAAGATGGCGGCCTTCGGCGACTTGTCGTAACCGTCGACGAGCTTGATAGGCAATAGGACATCAGCTCCGAATTCCTGAATCAAGCACTTTACCACATCAACATGGCCGTTGACAATGGCAAGGTGTAGCGGCGATGCAGCGGAGTCCCATGCTAGGATATTGATATCGTAGACGTCCGGCTCGTCGTTATCCTCGTCGCTTTGAAGCGCTCTGTCGTCGGCATCGGGTGTTACTTGTTTGATTTTGATCATAGAATGCTCCGTAGTTGCATCCATATCGTCATCCTCATCAGCTTCGTCTTCCTCGATCATATCGATGTCAGCGTCTTCTTCATCATCTTCCTCATCTTCATCATCTCCACCATCTTCGCCATCTTCGTCTTCTTCACCATCTTCGACATCCTCACCATCCTCGCCATCCTCGTCAATTTCAGGATCGTCCAGCGATGTTTTGACATCGTCTTCTGACATTTCGATGTCTGCCGGATCGTTCGGATTCGCGGCTTTACGTGCAGCCCTGCGCGCGGAAATTTTCTCCTCGTTGATCTCCTCATTTGCCTCACTCTTCTGCAGAAGTGCCTTGACCATCTCCACATTGCCTCGTAGAGCAGCCAGGTGAAGAGCTGTTCTGCCATCGACGAGGCGAGCGATGAGTCTTGCCCCATGATCGATCAAGATTTGAACCACTTCCGGTGTTGACTCTGCCACTGCGAGATGCAGTGGTGTTCGTCCTGTGTAGTCGCGAGTATTGGGCTCATTCCCATCCTGTTCCAGCCAAGTGCGCACGTACTCTGCATCGCCATCGACGATAGCCTGGCATAGACGAGCGGTGTTTCCAACGTATGCCATGTCAGTCCAGTCTTCCGCGGATAATGGGTTGAAGGATCCAATGGTCTGTCGACCAGGGTCATCTCTGATGAAACGGATGTCACCGTTGATATAGATCTTGTTCTCTTCTTCGGCGACTTCGTCCTCCTCAACGGTACTCGGCTTGGGGCAAGTCCCGCAACAGTCACCGAAGACATCAATCGCTCGACCGAAAAAGGCTGGATGGCGATGCAGATGCACGTCCCTGTTTTTCGGAGTATTCCATTCTGCGTTGAGGAGAATATCCTTCGTGTACAGAAGCTTTTCAATCTTCTTGGCGTGAAATTTTGGACCGTAGGGTACGGTGAAAGTGTGATAGTTCGATACCTCCTCTTGGTCAACCCACTCGGCGACTTCATCCTGCCATTGGTCTTTAATGTTGCCGCGCATCTTGTGTCGGTTGACTAACCAACGTTGGATTATTGGTCGCCCTCGCTCTGCACGACGCTGGTCCATGTAGGCGTCGCGGTCATCACTCTTTGGGAGCTTCTCCAACACTAGTAGGCGAGCCAGACCTTCTGTGCGGCCGAAAGATCGCTCGAAGATTGTCGGATCGACTTTTGTTCGGTCCAGGTGGGGCCAATAGATCTCGAAGCCACGATGCGCATATTTTGATAAACGATTCTCGTATGAGGGCGAGCGACGAGAGAGATCAATGACGTTCGTCTGTGTAATGTACGCTGCTATCGCACGAGGACTCGCATAGACCTGCTTACCATCATACGCGGCACAGCTGCAGTCCACGTCGAAGCCCGTTAATATTTCTGACACAGAATTATAGATACGTAGCACGATCTGAATGTGGCGCGTGGGATACTGGCTCGCGATCGTGATGGCGTTCTTAGTACGAATGGTGGTGGTCTCGGTGAGAATGGCATCGCGAATATTCTGCTCGATCTGTATGATCTTCTCCTTGGCTTGCTCTTCGGTCAATCCATAGAGGAAGAGGTCGACGTCTGACGCCGGTGCGAGCTTCTCGTGATAGTATTCCCGAAGCGTCCTCTTGGACTCTGCGTGCTGTGCGGGCACAGCAAGCAATGGAGTCACGACTGCAGAACCTGCAACGACCACATTGGACCAATCCAAATCGACAAGAGCTGACTCGGAAAATACGTTGAAATTCTTGCGGAAATCACCAATAGTCGATACGATGGCAGGCGACCCATCTGCACGACGCTGCTCATCTTTCAAAGGCATGATGTAGAATTCTTTCTCCTGCACGCTTTCTGCAGCAAGGTCACGGGCTCGAACCTTGACCTCTTGTTCATGACCGGCAAACAATGGAAGAATGTTGGGTTGCTGGGCTGCAGGATGGTCAGGTTGTTGCGCAAAGATCTTTCTTAGTTCTGCATCATAAGCTTTGAAAGGCTCGAGCACTTCGCGAACCGGCCGACTGTGTTGGCTCTGGAGGTAGGGAATGAATTCATCATGCTTGGCTGGCAAGGTCGGCAGATCGATCTTGACAGACTCAACATGAGATGCCATCTTGAAGCTCGCTGGTGGATGTGTCTAGGCCAGCCGTGATGAATTTGATGACACCGCTCTGGAAGAAATGGCAAGAATGTTCGGGTGAACTTATGTATTCACAAATAGCATTGCTTGTCGTGCCTTTATATGACATTTACCCTCTCACCAGTGAGACAGTCGCAATCATCATGTCTTGTGATCCGCCCGCCCAGGTGAGGTCAAAGGGCCAATGCTGCCTGCTGGCCGGGTGACGGGAGGATTTCCAGATCCGCGCCCGCCAGGCAGAACAAGCGCTTATGGAGGCAACCATCGCTTCTCCGTCCACGGACTACGGATTTGGGAAGCGATGATACTGAATGATTCATTTCATGTCATATCTAATGTGACGTCAAGCGTGTTGTGACGCGGTGCAACATCGTGAGAGAGGCGTTCGAACGTGCACCGCAGCTGGTGGTTCAGCGACAAGCGGCGCAACATTTGGATCTTGAGGCCGCGCGGACATCTATTGATGCCTGAGGATAGGAGTTTCGTGGGAATCCCTCCTTCAGGTTCCGAGCTCCAAACGAATCCTACAGCAACAAACACGACATATGCATGTTGCACCTGTTTGGAAGCATGGAGTTCGCGGACGCAAGTGAGGTGCCTCTGACAAATATCAAGCAGCCAAATTCCTCGAGTGAGCATTACGGAGCCATGCCCACCAATCCCTTGCGTGCAACAGCAGGCACAAAATGCAGTCTGGCAATTGATCGTGTGTCGTCTTGCGGAACAAAGACATCGGCGTGAGTTGCGATATCAGCATGCGCGGAAGTGAATAAATATTCGTTGTAAAGTACATGGCTGATTTCAAGATAATCACCGCGAATTCCGTTCTGTTGTGTCCCTTCTCAGCCGACGCTCTGAAGGCAATGGAACCCAATAATTTTGCAGCAACAATCACATGCATCGCCACCAAGTCTCCAATCCTACGAGGCTTGATGCGAAGTGTTTGCCTCTCCGCCATTGTTTCTGAGGTCGTGAGCGCATATTGGTCATACGCAGGTTTACCGAAGCCCCGACTCATGATCGGTTTCCAGCTCATGTGGAATGACATAAAGCGAACGCCAACAGCGCAGAAGATCTGGCAGGCTATACACTGGTTCTACGAGCACCGCCCATGAGGTCGTTGAAAAAAATCGACCAACGACAATTTTCGAATCGACCAGCGACACGCAGAGTTGTGTCATTTTCTGGAGGGAAAGCTTTTCAGCAGCAAGTCGTAAACTCTAGGCATCACCAACCCTGCTCGGCGTCCCGAATGACATTGATCAGACGCGACATCTCCCACTGCAGTCTCTCCTCGACAGCCGAGAACATGAACGTCATGCGATAATAACAGCTACGGCGAATGTCCGAGCAAGTCGAGCTTTGCGACTCGGGAGCGAGTTGATAATTCCAGGGCAAGCGATCCAGATCATAAGCACAACTCGTGGCCCAGAGGCGAAGATTTGAGAATTCTTGCTGGGAACTGCTGCTGGGAACCAGGAGGGAGATGTTGAGACTGGGATTCGAGCGAAGTGCCTTCAGCTCGGGGGGATATAGCCCCTTGGTGAGGCGTATGACATTCTTGAAGTCGAAGTTGACGATCAGGGCATCGATGTAGGCGGTCGAGAGCAAGAGGGGAAGATACTCTTCACGGCAGCGATGAGAAGTCAAAAGGAGTCCTGGGATCGCTATACATTCTTTTTGCTTATTTGCGTCGCTTTTGTGATGGTTTTCGATAAGTCGTAGTGTTGCGTTGTGTGCGGATAGTTCATAGATCTGATTGCGGATTTCGCCTGGGAGATCATAGAAGCTAATCTTGGAGTGGGTGGCGAATTGAAGATCCTCGTCGCTGGCCGTGTTACCGCCGGTCCGAAGCCCCGATCGGCGCCGAAACACGTTCAACATGTTCGCCTCGCACAATTAGACGATGGTTGATATAGCGACACGAGAAACAAACAACAGGTCAATGATTATGAATGCAGGAAAAGTGAACCGTATGCAGGCCAGGTCTTTAATGACGGGATATAGACTCTTCGGCTCCAGTGTCATCAATCAAACAGGATAATCAGCCACACAGAACAATGTTCTTCCAAGGACACGCGAAAGGCGGGGCGGTGTTGTCCTGTTCGCGTGATCCTTCCCGGCTAAAACGACTGTGATAGCTGCAGAATGGATGAGGATACATGATTTATCACCGATTCGAATGCTTCGCACGGCTGAGGAACTATCCGGGGGCGACTTGACCGCAGATGTTCGTGGCGGTGTGACTGTAGCCTATCAACTCGGCGTTGTAATTGACCACTGTTCTGTTACAGTATAATAATGCCGAGTTTCTTATATTACAGTGCTTCCCGCTCGCCACTGTAGCGACAGACACACGCGTAATGCACAGAAGCCATAAGCCTCCAGGACTATGAAGATGCACAGTATGCGTAATATCGGCGATGCTGCAGAGCCAACGAGCAGAACAATGATCAATGAAGCTGTAAAAAATACATTATTACACACATTGTGCACTGCAATTCACGCAAAGATGCACCTATGCAGGTGAGTTCCGATCACCTCGTCTTGTCGCGTTCTACTACTCGTGACTCGTGCCGAGCGATCGTGAATGATCCGCGATTGGTGACGTAGCCAGCTGTACCAATGAATGAGGGCCACCAAAGCGCCGACACGTGCTCGCCCGCGCCAATGGACATTCATTGCATTCGAGTGCGATCGAATCACGATCATCGTGATTCGCGAGCAAAGTTCTGGGTTTCTCATGGTTAGCGCGAGTATATGATATGGCTTCAGGAGCTTGCTGTTCCCTCTGTCGGCTATTGTTGTACATACAGTAACAATCCTCACGTCGTCATCTTCGATCCATTATTGTTCAAGCACTTCACTTCCAACAAAATGGCGTCCGGTAAGCATTGCCAGGTGGTTTGACAACACGGTCCACCCAGGAAAGTCCAACCATACACTAACACCACATTGCGCCCGTCTACAGGACTTCTTACACCACAACTTCCCATCACAGGCACCTTCGCCGTGCCTCTCGGTCTCTACTACGTCCTGCTCTCCGGCCGCGTCGTCGCGCAACGTCTCCAGAGCAAGAAGCTCACCGACCAGCCCGTCGGTGGCGCAGCCGCCGACACCAATGGTCTCGCCGCCTCCATCCGCGCGCAGGTCAACTTCGCCGAGAATGTCCCGCTGGCATTGATCCTCGCCGGCATTGTCGAGCTCAACGGTGGTTCCCGACGTGTCTTGACTGGCGCGCTCAGTGTCTTGGTCGCCGCGCGTGTACTTCACGCCCACTTCGGTCTGCTTTTGCAGAACTCCAGTGGCTTCGGACGGCCGATTGGTTACCTTTCCACCCAAGGTGTCGTCGTTGGTCTTGTTGGATACTCAGCTTACCTGCTTAAGAGCTTCTGGGGCTACTAGACGATGAGTGTCACGATGACTATATGACTTCGATCGGCTTGCGGTAACTCGAAGATGATACAGGAAGATCATTCATACAATTCGAGATGAAGACAGACGTTGTTGTAGGATTATGTTGATGTAGGGCTAGACGCAACTTTCAAATTTTATCAAAACGTGCCTAACCCATGATATGATACATACTAGAGCAGCGTTTCGATCATCTTTTCATCCGCTATTGTATTGATCCTGTGACATGGACTACAACTCCACTGCATATTAGGGAGCATCGTTTGCGTTCAGTACTGTTGACAAGCACAACCTCTAGGGCTCGGAGGAGCGTCAAACTTGTCCGCGGACGGGCGGGCATCCTTGATTTTAGGGTTTACTTGACTTGGGGCTATTCATATGGGCTGTAATTTCGCGGCAAGAGAAGTACACACAGAAATTATGATAAGGCTCGAGTCTTTAATTGAGTTGAACGCGTAATGAATCTTGCCACTGTCCTCTCCCTATCCAGACCAGGATTCGGTGAAAGAGATTTGAGGACAAGGATATGTCCGAACTGGAAGGAATTCGACTTTGGCACCGGCATATGCATTTGTCGTCGTGGGTGGCCGACTGACGACAGTTCAGCCACCGAATCGTGCTGTACATGAGAACAATATCGGTCGTGAGTGCACAATAAGGCCCTTTGAAAAGTCCCAAAATTGTAAATTAGCCAATACCAAACTTGCCGAATATTACCAAACTGTGTGTACAGCTGAAGGCATTGTCGGTCAAAGAACACCTCCGCAAATGGGCAAAATGTGGAGAAGGAATCCAGGGTCCACCCGGTAACTCGACTTTTCATCACCACCCCCAACGTAGGTACCTCTAATAACTGCCCAGGTGTGGTTCAGTGTATCAAGATCCTTTGCGACAATTCACCAAACGGACGTACCGTTTACCAAATTGATCATCGAAATGTCAACAGAACCGCCCTCCTTTATAAGCATCACAACAGTCCTCTCCCTACTCTCGACCATAGCAATCCTCCTCACAGCCTACCTCTTCTCCCTCCAGCTGCTCCCGAAAAACGCCAGCGCCAAAACCCGACTCCTATTCATCTGGCACGCCTTCGATGCGCTAATCCACTTCATCCTGGAGGGAAGCTATCTCTACAACTGCTTCTTCAGCTACACGACAAGATCCGCTTCACATAATGACGTCTCAGCATTCGTCTCACCATATCTCCCTCCGAATGTTTACTTCCTCGGCCACACCGATCGCATGTACGGCGCCGAATACGGCAAGAATCCCTTCGCCGCGCTATGGATGGAATATGCCAAAGCGGATAAGAGATGGGGCGGAAGCGATCTGACCGTCATTAGTCTGGAGCTTCTGACGGTATTCATCGCGGGGCCGATGGCAGTGTACATCTGTTCGGCGTTGGCGAGGAAGAGGAGTGATGTATGGTTCTGGATGACGGTGCTCGCGACGGGGGAGTTATATGGAGGGTTCATGACGTTTGCGCCGGAGTGGTTGAGTGGGAATCCGAATCTGGATGGGTCGAATTGGATGTATTTGTGGTTGTATTTAGTATTCTTCAATGCGGGTTTGTGGGTCGTGATACCGGGGTGGGTCTTGTATGAGGCGTATGGGAATACCACTGGTGCGCTGCGGAGGTTGGAGAATGCTGATGTGGGAAAGAAGAGGGAATGAATCGGAGTTTGAATGGAAAAAGTGGACCCGAAAACATCGAGAAGCCTGGGAATGAAGGTGATCTGTCTATTCTCTATATGAGTGATCATTCATGATCCTTCTGGAGGACATCCAGGAATTGGTCAAATCGGATGGGGCCACACTAATGGCTCAATCAAAATGACCTCGGGTACTGACAATCCGACTCTACTACGCGTCTTCCTCAGAAAGCTCCTGGTAGGTGTCTTGGTAGTCATCTGCAAAGGCAGGCATTGGATTAGTCATCGAGGTTTCTCCCATTCCCATCCGATTCGGTAGATGCACATGGGTAATTCAGATTCTTCTACAACCTGAATCGCCATCTCGGGTCGTCATCGCCCTGCCAATCACCTGCAGCGACGACGGCGTTTGAGCCAGCAGCAACACGGTCGCGCTTCTTGTTCTCGCGCCGGAGCGTGTGCCACAAGACCGCAGCAACGACACAGTTCAACACCATGTACGCCAGCGCCACGCTGTGTCCGACCAAGTATCGTGGAGGGTTACGGTAGATCTGCGTGCCGATGATGGCGCCGGTGTTTCCGATTGTGATCTGCAGACCGGAGGCGACCGCTCGTTTCGTCTGTCCGCTGACGTTCATAGCCGGCCAGCTGAGTGCGAGCGCGCAGGATGGGAAAATGCCTGCAGTGGCGAAGAAGACACCGACATAGCTTACGCCGGGGTGCCCGATAGGATCAGTGTTGCCGATGAGGATGGCGTATCCGATGACGGCAGTGAGACTGGAGGCGATGACGAAAGGTGCACGGACGCCGACTCTCTCGGAGACGACGGCGTACACAACAGTGAGTGCGGTAGCCAGCGCATACGGAGGTACCGTCAAGAGCTGGGCTTGATAGGATTGGTAGCCTAAGGCCTTGATGATCGATGGCTAGAGTGTGTAAGGTCAGCACGGGAGACTCAGTGGTGCTAGAATCGCCGAGGTAATGACGAGCGATGATCGTGAACATACCAAGAAGAAGGAGATGGTGTACAACGGCAAGCTGAGTGTGTGGAAAGCAGCGCAATACAGCCAGACCTTGTAATCCTTGAGCGCTTTCCACACTTCATCCCACTCGAAGACCTCGCTCTGACTTGCATCGCTGTCTGCAGCCAGTCGGGCCTGAATTAATCGTCGTTCATCTTCAGTGACAAATGTGGCCTTCGCGGGCCAGTCGGCAATGTACCACCAGGCGGCAACAGCAAGGACAACGGTCTGTCAAGGTCAGTCACAATTCCAGTGCGAGATTCATGGGTCACTAGACATACGAGCAGGCCCTCGATGATGAAGATCCATCGCTGTGCACACATTCGTCAGTGAAATATCTTGTACCACTTCATGGGGAAGGTGTCTTACCCAGCCTTGATAGCCACCGATGCCGTTCATGAAGCTTATACCATACGCGAGGACCCCACCAAACGCGCCCGCCAAAGAGGCAGCACTAAAGAATAGAGCAATGCGGTATTGTCGTTCTGCACGTTTGTACCACATGCTGTCATTAAGGTCATTGGGTGCGCTAGCACGATGGTGGGCAAGAACATTGACTCACCTGAGATAAAACACAACACCTGTCGAAGGTCAACAACTGTTCGGCAAATTGATGTACGGAATCGTGCAAACTTACCAGGAAACAATCCACCTTCTGTCAATCCTAGGAAAAATCGAACAACAAAGAAACCCGCGGTGCCTGAAACTCGTTCATTGTTCTGGACGACACCCTGTAAGGTTGCGACGATACCCCAGACCAAAGTGATCAATGGCAACCAGATTCGCGGTCCGATGCGCTTGAGGATGATATTCCAGATAACTTCGAAAAGAATGTAACCGATGAAGAAGATGGTGAGACCTGTACTGTAGTCCGGGTCGCTTATACCGAGGTCCTTCGTCAGTCCTTCCAGCTTAGCATTGGCAACATTGCTTCGATCGAGGAAGGATAACAAGTAGAGAATAGCGACTCCGGGCACGAGGTGTAAGTCCAGTTTACGTAGCAGTGCTTTCTCACGACGCCTGTGAACTTCAAGAGTAATAGGGTCCGTGGGTAGATCCTGAGCGGTTGCTACAGCGGCGGTTTGTCCTGTCTGTTTCTCGGTGTCGGAAGCAGATGACGATGCGACCTGGTCGTCGGATCCGTGGCGGAGTGTCGGATTCTTTTTGCTCCACGAGAAACCCATCTCTGCTGCGCTGCACGTAATGTGCGTTTCAGAGATTAAAGGGTCTTGGTCGAACAGAATGTGAATCCGTGATTCGTCGTCGCGTGTGATAGTCCTTATCTATAGAAAACTCAATGCCAGAGTGGAGGGTATCACGGCACAGCCATGACGAAAGATGTCGTGTGAAAGCCACGTTGGTGCCTCATGAGGAAGCACATTTATGATTCTGGCCAATCTCGACCTCGAGATCTCTACCGTTGGCCTGCACACATGGATAACGCGTGTTCCACGTCAAGGATGTCGTGATTGAAGGATCCACGCTTTGAAGCCAGAAGCGGTCAAGCTTCGGGATTTCTCCGCGTATTTGGTCCAATGCCACTGCGGATATAACAGCATGACGGAGCCAGGGACATTTTCGAAGTCTCCATCGCTGTTTAGGTGCGCGCATTTCTTTTTCATAGCTCTATTTACGGCAGCAATGTCGGTTTAACAAGCTCGCTGCGACTTGCGTGTCCGTCCGGAACTAGATGTTGCCGCTCACGTGCCTCTATCGAAAGCATCGCTGAAGTATGCGACAAAACGAATCTCTTTGGTCGTAGCGCTCACAGTCACATCTAGATCGGCTGTAGCACCCGAGAGTACCTAGCATACCATTGATGGTAGAACTGCGTGATCCCTGACATACAAGATTTATGCTTCGCGGGCCACTTCACTGGTGAAATATGCGTTTGGTGCCGAAATAAGCAGCGGTCAGCTCGAGACACAATCGCGACTGATATGCGGCCGATAATGTTTGAAATACACATGACTGACCCAAATCGTTCTCACTGTAGCCAGCCTTCTGAAAGTACAGCACGAGCTTAGGAGCTCACCAATTGAAGCTGCCGTGACATATTTGTCGTGGAGGTTGCGCGTCAATGAATGCTTCCGAACGACGTTACAAGATCTTCTCTTCATATTGATTTTGGTGAGCGCCTAGAACGTGGCCAGAGATGATGCATATATCCGCCTTGCCGCAGAATATTTCGAACAGAGGAATCGATTCGTCGGAGTCATTCAGAATCTACTTGATATCGTGACAAGCTGTGCGCTGCATGTTGTCGTCCATCAAAAAGTGCTATGTATTTTAATGACGTTTACCCTTTGAGATGTCCAGGGATACTGTAGTGGCTGGTCAGAATTCTGGTAAAGTGGAGTGTTGGCCGTCCGGGCCACTCCCGTCGCCAAACCGAATTTGGGAGCCTCGGCCCTGACGCGGCTCTGTCGACTCCATCTCTCACACATTCGTGCATCCCGTCACTTCTCCGCAAAACCGTGAGTCCATAGCAGGGCAATCCCATCGTTCTCGGTTCGTGATCCATCGAACATGAGCAGTGCGTCCGGTTGGACTCCATTCATCACTGGTCGTCTCTAGTCGTACCATATCCTCGTCATGGCGTACGCCGAGCCTGCTCGCTATCAGCAGGATGCCATGAATTCACGATATCTGTCCAGCTCCCTCTCGGGACTATCACATTCACGATCGACCAATTCTCTTATTGTGCGCACATACAAGCAGGCGACACAGCTCTACCTGACCAAGCGCTTCCGCGAGGCGCTCGATACCTTGGAATCTATTGTCTCACCGCCTCCACAGTCCCCTGAAGACTTGGGACAGTCGAACGGCGTATCGGGGATTACGAATGGCGTCGCTCCAGTGGCACAGAGTTCCAAAGGAACACGAACAAAGGTGTGGGTATTCTACCTCAGCTTGATACACGCGATAGTCGAGTTGGGAGTAGAAGAAGGCAAGCTGCAGTTCGGATCCGCGCGCTGGCGACAAATCGCGGCCAAGGCAAGGGAAGGCAGCATCTGGGAGGAGGTTGTACGATATGGATACAGTGGTGAAGAGGCCGTAGTCGACCCGGATGTTGTAGTCAACCTCGCGACTCTCCTGCTGGGACACATGCAAAGCCAAAAGCTCAACCAGCAGCGCTTGGAATCATACTTAGCATCCTCTGCTGGCCTCGACGGTCACGTTGGGTATCCCCAAGATGGACTAGCGACGCCCATGTCAATCGGCTCTTTACAATCCTCGTCACCTCGCGACCTCGCAACGCGCCTCAGGATCTTAGAGCTCTACGCGTTGCATGTACTCCCTGCCAATGATGAATGGGACTATGCCGAGTCATTCATTGAGATGAACGACACCCTCGACGAGGAACGTCGTGAGACATTCCTGCTCGCCTTGCAAGGATTAAAAGATGAGAAAGAGGGCACGGCACAGAGGGAACGCGAACTTGAAGAACTGCGGGAGCGCGAAATGGAGGAGCGCCGAGAAGCCGAGGAGGCGAAGCGGAAGGAGGAAGCGAAGAAGGAGGAAGAACGGCGAAGGGCAGCCGAAGCCGAAAAGGCCGCCAGAGCGAGCAACAGCGGTGGCTCTCAGACATCTCGGAACAATAGCAAACCCCCTGCCGCCACCAACACGCCGAAGCCACCACCGTCACAGCCCAGATCTTCCAAAACGCCCAAGAAGAACATCGCCCGACCGCCGACCAACATTCTCACGAGAGCATCACTGGCACTAAGCTCCATACAACAAATGGTTCTACAGGCGAGCAAAAATCTGACAGGCAACAATGTCGCCCTGGCACGCTTCCTCGTCTTCGTAATGGCCTTTTTGTTGCTCTTGACTCGGAAAGGCCTGAGGATGAAAGTCAAGAAGGCGATAGAAGACGGATGGGTAAAGGTCCGACAGACTGTGGGAATGGGCGTCAAAGTTTCGTATATCTAACTGGGGCATATTTGAGGAGCGAGGAGAAAAGGATTCCGGCTTTTTCTGCAGCGGGCTGCTGGTCTCAACTAGTGAACTTGATGGTTTTCCGTGTGAGCAGGTTTGATCGTCAGACGGTCATCGGTCCGTGTATCCGTTACATTCGTGTCACTCGAAGAGTTACTTTACCATTCCAGAACACACGGCCAGCGCACTGGCACGTTGGGGCAAGAGATGGTGCACGATGCAGTGCGAGTGGAGCGTTCCCATCACAGATAAACCTTGTAATTTGATCCCTCCGTCCGCATGACGTGCATAACATCACAGATGACTCTCTTCCGTACAACATGTACACAAAGGGCGACATCGGTTCATGTTTTTCCGCCCCATTCTGCAAGTGCCGGGCGTACAGTTGAACGTTGATGACGAATTTTTAAAGGCAGGATCTCCCACCCAGCGTCTTGGGTGGGTGTCTGTACTCGCTCCTGTCAAATGGTGTTACATTCTACGTATTTGCCACAGGCCCTGTACTCTTTGTACTTCGCCGTGGCAAGATGACATGCTTTAAAGGAGCCTTTCGTCCTGATGACACGTCTCAGTCCACACTCGTCAGAAGTGGGAAGAGTTGCGCCAGAGGTCAGATCTCGAACCCAAGTCTCATAACACAGCATAAAAATTGTTGGGCTGGGGCGCTGTCAGCACAGACGGACGAGACAACAAGGCCATTGAAGATGAGCAAGCGCGACGACGAGGGCGTCGTGTCTGGGTACCACGGTTGGAAAAAGTTGAAAATCTTCGAGATTGACCTTCCTATCTTGCAACTGCCGGCAGCAACACGATCAGCGGCGCTAATAATGGTCTGACTCCAGGTCCCATGATTTCAGATATCGACAGTCTGTGCAAGGAGAGAAAGGCTTGTGCTACAGCAAGTCTGACAAAATTTGCACCAATACACAAAGAGACACTGCCTGTCGTTGTTCTGATTTCCAAATTTCTCTTGCACTCAAGACCGACAAAGACCTAACACGCCAAGTTCAGAAGGCATCGCACAAATCAAGAGAGAATCCTACGTAACGTCAGTATAGTTGAAGGTCGTGGCAGAGCATGACGCATAAATCGCCGTATGCAACTCACGACAATCCAGGCCGGCTCAATCCTGATCTGAAGAAAAGTTCATTTGCGTGGAAGCACGCATGGTGAGCGCAGTGTGCTCCGACGAGGGTCGTACTGCAGCAAACTGCCTTGTCATCTACACATTCCATGCGTCTCTCGCACAGCCTGGCGCCATTTCCGTACGAGCCTGGGCGATGGAAATGGTCTGCTTGTGCATACCGAACACGAGCTGATTTGTCTGATCGTGCGTCCTGCAGCGATCAGCGTAAGTCCATGACGCACGAGAAGATGTCAAGAGCAGCTGGACACTCAGGTTGTCAGATGATCGATGATCGATGGCTGGCACAGGAGCGTGTTCCGTGGTCTGATTGAATCTCCATGGCCCAGCCTCGACGATCTTCCGCTTTGGTCGTTGGTAAGCGGGTTCGCGTATTCCTGTTTATTAGATGCGATTGTGGTGTGGCTCAGGGCTACAGTTCCGAGCAGTCTGCTTTCTCTCTTTCTTACCTTAGAGTTGGGCCGACGAGAATTGGTAAGGTACAGCGGGAAGCGAGTCCCGACTATTGCAGAGAGGGAGTGATGCAGACTGACGTGTGTGAGATGCTAGACGACGATGCCCTTTCGGAATGTGCCTGCTCGTGTGAGCTGCCCGGCTGCGGCAAGCGCAAATGATCGATCTCCATCCGCTCTGCCTAATGAGCGATAAACTCAAATATCTTCCCACTAAATTTTCCTGCAGCCCTGTCGCAACCCGTCACGGCCGCATACGCGCGAGTCCCATTCCACCGGCCTTCCTGTCTGGGGATTTCGATCACATTCTTGGTTCCGGAGCGCCATCGACGGAGGCGCCGTAGTCTTTATGTGCTGGCAGAGCAGCGGTTCGATTGCCATCGCCGCCATTGCAGGGCCGCATCGCATCCACTGTGAGCAACAACGGACTCAGCGTCGTCCCTGGTTGCTCGGATGGCTTGGCGATCTCCAGCGGCGGTTCGGATGCGATGTGGACGCTCGCCGCACGGAGCCTTCATGTCATCTCGTGCCGTGCGGCAGCACAGCATTTTGTATTCTGCATGAAAATATGCCGCATGCACTGTGCTGTCATGCTTGCAGGGCCGCGTTCCGATGATTCCCAATCGGCGTCTCCTGCATGGGAACTTCTGCAGTTTCTACGCGCGCCCGCAAACTTGCGGACAAGGTTGTGCCAAGGGATGATCGTTCATCGCCTCCCACAAGGACATGTCTCTTCTTTGGGCGGCAACAAGTACCCTTGTCTCATCTTCACATATCTGCATCTCACACACAGCACCGTTTTCAGGCAGATGATCTAAGATGCATGCACGACTACCGCTTGGGACCATGCACATCTACGTGTCTGTGCGTGTGCAGCGAATCCACGACGTCGGGGCTTTTCTTCCGGGGCCTGCGCCATGCATCACAAAGGCGATGCATGTCGGACAAGGCTAGTCTGACGCATTGCTCGTTTTTTGTTTGTGTACACAAGCCGCTTGATCTGCCTACCTGAGGCCCACTCGATGACCTTCCCAAAATCATCAACTTCATGTGAGCGGCCAGAAGCACCGTCGCAAGCCTATCTCCTGCATGACCTGCGTGCAGTGTTTTTGTAAAGGAAGGGATTCTCAACGGGCGCGCAACCCTTTGCTTCCTTTGCGTGATAGGTCTCCAATTCCGCCTGCATGTATGACCGCAGGAGTAGCAGCCCTGCATCTATCCCCTCTCCATACAAAACAGGATACATCTTGCCTGTACCAAGCTGCGCTGGCAGGCATGCTGATGTGGCCGCAGAGCCCACCGAGTGCGCGTCGAATTACCTTGGTTTCCCCTCTCCGCTCCTAGGCACTGCGGATCTTTCTCGAGGGGAACGGAACATCGAGCCCGAACCTGCCCCATCCCTTTCTTGACCTAAATATCCCTACGCAAGTTGATGGATCTTCTGTTCGGTTCGGGAAGCTTACGCCGGCCACCCGCGTATCATGACCCGTCATTCACTCCCACGGCCCGGCAGTTTGGAAGGCTTATCCTTCATCATCGCCCGGGAATGTACTTTGCTCTATCTGGTAGGAACCTAGACCCCTGCCGCATGCTACCTCTCTGGGGAAGCTGCTTTCACTTAGCGAAGGCGACCCGAATGTGCGACCCCGTCACTAGACTGGCGCGGCAAAGGTAGAGCACCGCTTCCACCGATAATGTCGTCCCCGAAGTGCACCGGAAAGAGAACACGGCAGTCTTTATTTGATCTCGCCAACTCCACTCAACTCGTACTACCTACCTGTCCAAATCTTGCGCTCTATCGTGTTCGACATTTCACATACCTCTGAGTCCCACAAACGTCTGGATTACACAAGCTTTCACCCATAAATCGTGCTTGCCGCTGCCACACTGTGACTCCTGCCTTCGAAAACAATTGCCATCGATCAAAGAACTACCCTCGCTGCCTTTTCGTCCGACAACAAGTTCGCTCGCATATCGTTGCTGACTCTGTCTGACCTTCCCACCGCTGTTGAGGAGTTCGGTCTCGCCGAAAATTCGCACATCGATTGACTGAAGGCGTCGTTGCCTTGTCGGATACTCGAAGCTGCTGTTGTATCTTCGATCATCTCCACTTGCAAAACATGTCAGCCTATCCTGCTTGCGCGTACGGTCAGCAGTACCTGGGCCCTGGCCGAACACCAATCTTGAACCCCTGGCCCGAATATGCCAGCGATACGTAAGTACCACGATGTTGTGTCTCAATCATCGTTTCCAGTCCTTGCAACCACGATGAGACCTGAGCCGCTGCTCGACATCCTCTGCTCTTGTAGCATGCTCATGGGCAGCATTACAAGCTTGCACCAGAGTTGACGTGCTCTTCGCCGCAAGCGTGCTCGTTTCTAATCTCCTCGTCGGCTTTGTGTCGGAACGGAATTGTGGACGTGGGAACCTTGTATTAACGCTCAGTCTCACACAGCTCCAGTCGATCCACAACCGAAGCTCCCAGTCCGCCTTCACCGCAACACCACCGCTACTCACACCAGTCAAAGCAACCTCGAGCTCCACGACCAACCTACACCGATGAACAGAAATTCTTCATCATGTATGCGCGAATCGTCTGTGGTTATCAATGGACAACGATCAAGGCACACTTCGAGAACCTATGGGAGGCCGAGAATCGATACGCGCCACGGACTGAAGAGGGTCTCACCAGCGTGTACTACCGCGTTCGCGCCGAATGGGGCCTCAAGCCAGTCCAAGCGGGACCTGCAAGCGAGCATGACCGCGCCGTTGTTCATGGACGAGCAACCTACTTTTCAAGAGATTTCCTCTCAATGATCCGGTACCTTCCCTCGTTCTAAATCCGTCACAGGAAGCAGACGAGTGGGAATTCCTGGCGATCTCGAAATCAATGCGCAATCGATCGATAGAACTGCAGACGGATCCATAAGAAATCGAGTCTAGACAATCTTTCCGGAAGCTGTTGGCGAGTAACCATGGGCTGGAAAGGACCCGTGGACCACGGGAGGGCTGCCGCCGCCGGATGCGAAGCCGAAGACCACACCCGCTTGCTCCACAACCACCATCACCACTCCGAAGATTATCCGACCGTCGACATCGTCTCGATCGTCATATAATAACTCGACGTCTCCACGACCCATTCGTCATGGCCTCCGCGGAACGCCATTTCTGACTCCCGACATGACGTTCCTTCCACCACAAAAAGAACTGACTGGATCTGTGGCCCTTCATCCTCGGAACTCCATTCGTCCGCGAAGCCCAATGACACACTCAATAAACAATGATGACTATACGAAAAACCCTTGCCCAAACCTGGCGCAACAAGGCACCGAAGACTATTCCGCCAGCAATGGCCATCCGCTCTCGCCAATGTTAATTTTCCTGGCGGCCGACTTCTTTTCAATACCCAACTTCACGAGAGCGTCCTACGGACTCGCGAGCCCATTTCCCTGTTCCCCATGTGCTCTTCCCCCCTAGCTCGATTCACCCCCTGTTCTATGCTTGGCCATAAGAATACAGGTGTAAGAAGGCATCATGAAAGGAGAACAACGATGAAGCCCGCTCTCTTCCTTATGGTAGGTGATCGCCACTCAACGGACCTGGAGAGAGATGTGACGACGAGACCTCGTTCAAAAACCTTTCAAAACACCACTTCATGTACACGATAGGAAATGACCTACTTTTACCTTTCTTTGACTTTCTTGATATTCTGTACGGCGGGGAGGCTTGTTTGGGCGTTTCTGTTCTGGAGGCAAATATCTTTTCTTTTCTTTATTCAGACAGGAATTCGCAAACGATATTAAAGATGAATACGAGAATCCACACTATCCATGAGAATGTCTAGATGCTTGTTCAAGATCACGTGTTCGCGAAACTCCCAGAGATTATGATTCTCATCGCAGCAAGAAGACTATCGTCACGATACGGGACTGATCATAAATCCTTCCATTCATGCAAAGTTTCGGAACTTTTCTCATTTCCTTCATTGCCTGACCAATTTCGGAAGAGAAGAACAAAAAATACCGACTCCAGCACTCCTCAAACCAGACAAGAAAATATGGACAATTCATCATGACCCAGATTTTCTTTTTTGAGCATCTACTTTTTCTTCGCAGTACCAATGTGCGTCCCGTGGACTTTGCTTCCGAACAAAAGACTGCTCCTCGACTCCTGCCAATGAGCCTGCAACGGGCTGAGATGCAGCAACATGAGGGTACGGGAGGATTTGCCGGCGGAAGAGGTCCCGCCGAGGGAAGATTGGAGGAGATAGGTCAGCTGAGAGAGTAAGATAACGTCAGTGAATGAGCATTTCAAGAAAAGAAGAAGACCAAAAGTCTTCTTTTGAGAAGTGAAATTTTAGGGAGGACACTCACCTTGCTGTTCCGATACGGAACATGGCCTTCTCCATTTCCAGAACCGCCTCCGCGGGCGCCGAGGGAGGCGATTACGTCGCCTAGTGCACTCAGGCTCTTGTTTATGGCCTGTGTTTCCTTCATGCGATTGCCCTCTGCGCCAGACTGCTTCAGGCGTTCACTACCTGCGAGATCCACCAGATTGAGGATACCTTCCGATGTCTCCGAAGTAGCTGGACAGTTGCCGCGGAGGGTGAGGATGAAGATGCTGTGACTACGCGAGCTGCGTTCGTTGGCTTTGGTAGCTGCGACACGGCGGTTTCTTGAGGCAGTGTCGAGGAGCGTGTTGATGGCCTCGGTGGTGTAGGTCGCGTCGTCCTCAACAGTGCTGGTCGAGTCGGAGGATGGAGGTGGCCAGAGGCTGACACTGGTGAGGCCCGTCACTGTGGTCTTGCCGGTCGCATCATCATGGTGGATGGCGTGCTTTTCCTTCTTCCTGCCGCTGCGAGTGCTCGCTGCCAGAGGAAGATCGGCGGCATCCTCGTCGTTCTCCCATGTTTTGGCATCGCCGAGAAGATCGTTGATGGTCTCGTTGTAGACTTCAACAAAAGAGGCGTCGATTGCATACTCCCAGCCCTTCTCTTTCAGACGAGACATTTCTGACATCAAAAAGCGGATTGAAGAGGGAATGATGCCGTCAGGTCCCGACATTCCGTATGTCTTTCCGCTACCGGTTTGGCCATACGAGAGGATGCTGACATTGTATCCATCGACCACAGACTGAATGAGGTCCTGGCATTCTTGAAAGACATTCAAGTTGGGTGTACCAGGTGAGAAGACACGATCAAATGCGTAACTGTGCTTGTTGTTGACCTGTTTACCGGTCGCGGTCTGAGTGGTGGGCGCGTGTACTACCATTTCCTTGCAACCATCCAATGAGTCTGCGTCTGGCAGATCTATCTTGCATGGCTCGGTCTCCTCTCCTAGCAGTGGTCGTGTACGTACGAACACTCGGATGTTGCCGCGGAGCTCGAGGATTGTCGCGTTGAGCTTTCGTCGCAATGCCTCCTCTCTGCGCAGAATTTCCAATGCCTTCTCGCGTGCTTCGACGGCATCTTGCAATTTCTGGCTCATTGTTGTGAATTCTTGGCTCTGCATCTCTTGATTGCCCTCCAAGAAGTGCGCCTTGGAGACTAATCCTAGCTTTTCCTGCTCAAGCACAGTGATCTTAGCCTCGTAAGTAGTGATTCGACTCCGTAGGCTGTCCATCGTCGTATTGTTTGCATCTAGTTGACTCTGTAAACTCGTCAAGGACTCTCTTAGTATTTGCACCTCGCTTGCTGTCTCTGTCGCTCGGCTTTCGCCTGCCTGTCGTAGTCCATCGAGCTCCTTTTGCAATTTAGCGATTGCCTGAGTGTGCTCTACCCGCAATTCCTCCATTTCATCCCAGTGTTGTGATGTCATGTCGGCCGTTTCTTGGTCTTTCTGCTTCAGCCAAGCTTTCTTCTCTTCTTCCAGCTCACGCGCATGTCTATCAGCGGTCTTTTCCCGCTCCCGCTCAAACCGAAGCAACTCCTTTTCGTTTCTTAGTTGAATTTCCGCAAGTTCTCGTTGATATTTCTTTTCTGTGTCCGCGGTCTCACGTTCGTGATCGCGACGGACTTGTCGAAGATCTGTTGAAATGGTGTGAAGCTCGTTTCGCGCCCGATCCAGATCGGCTCCGAGCGTGCGATTTGAGTGGGAGAGATCGCGGTTCTCCGAAGTCATCTCTTGCACTGTCCAGGACGTCAGGTGAGGCCATACGATTATGATGGTGGTACATACCTCGTGTCTTGTACATGGCAAGAGACTCCTCAATTGCGTTCTTAGAGTCAGAGGCTGACTCCATCTGAGATCGCAAGCGTGAATACATGCGCTCCATGTCGTCGAGACGACCCTGCGTGTCCCAGGCTGTAGTTCGTGTAAGCGTCTCCTTTGTCAAAAAAAATGTAGAAGGCGGTCTGGATTTGGATACTGGTGCAGAAGATCGCATTGCAGACACAGGTGGAGTCTGTCGTACACGGGAGGGTGTTTGGAGGAAGCGAAGGGACTGGGTGTGACGTAAGGAGGAAGTGCACGAATACTTGGGTATTTTGGTGGGAGAGAGCTCCTCTTCAATGTCTTCGAGTGAAGGCCGATGCTTTTTCGCCGAAGGGAGGGGGACGTGATGGGGAGAAATAGACAGATTTGCAAACGCCGCGTTGAGCGAAGGTGTTCGCATGGACTCGTTGCCGTCACTGGCATTGCCGGAATCAATACTAGCCGCAACCGAGTCTGCCGATACTGACGATACAGAACAAGAGGAAATGTCACGCTACGACAATTTCGAACTCATTCCGCCATCGTCGGTATTACTGTCCGAGCCAGAGTGTTGAGACCTGGTCGCTGTCCTGTTGGTTGTCTGAATCTTCTCCTGCCGACGCAGGACGGGTGTGGAACGAGTCTTACGGATGCTGATTCCGGGATATGAAATTGAACTGTATGTACCTTTGCGTGAGCCTGACATGCTTGATTCCTGATCCGACTCTTGATCGTAACCATTCCCAAGAACCTCGGCTGAGCTCGGTGGCCGTGGAGGTGCCATGGCTCGGGAGACATTTGCTTGTCGACTGGCGGGCCGATTGCCATTTTGATAGCTGATTGCAGGTGTATTTGATTGGGCGCGGTGCGTGAGGAGTGAACCGGGTTGTCGCAGACCAAAAGCTGCTACATTTCCAGCTTTGCCAGGAATCTGAGATTTCAGGGTCGTCGCCGGAGGCTCCCCAGCACGTTCGACTAGGGTCTTGCGTTTTGTTGGTGGCTCGGGTACTAGAGTAGTCCTTGTCAGCATTGCATATCTTGCTAGTTACCCAACCGAGAGGAACTCTGACGCACGTCCGGTGATCTTGTGTTTGTTGGTAGCAGGATTGACCTGAGGCTGTTGGAAATTCATGACTTGACCCGTCAAGCGAGAATTGAGATCACTGGCGGTCGTCTCTTGAAGCAATGTCCGAGTCATGGTGCCATTGAAGGCAGGCAATTTGGACGGCCGTTTCAAGCCAGAGGGCCTGGCGTTTTCCATGGTCGCCGCGGAGGAGTAGTCCATATCGGATGGTTTTGGTTGTGGGCCGTCTGCACATTCACCGCCAGCGATGCAGTACACCGGGTCCAGGGTGTGAGTGTCGGGCAATACTAAGACAAGGAAAGAAGTGGAAGAGATGAGCAGGATGAAGCGGTATAAAGGATAGATTGGCGGCGCATGCGGTGGTTTGCGACGACGGCGACGATATGCACGCTGCAGCGACGCCAGTAACGTGATTTCGCCTGCACCACTGGAATTGTTCAAGGAATGCGCTGGAGTGTTTTGGTGACACGCGCCGCTGCCATCAACAGACGCGCGGGCTGCCGTTGCCAGTGAGCGTTGGCGGCGGTAGATCCCGCCCCGGAATTGTTCCGGTTTGGGTGAGGTGAAAGCTGCTGTGGCTGCCGTGGTGGTGGTGCTGGGACTGGGGCTGGGGGAACAACAACCTCGGGTTACGATGGCTGCGGTGCGGAGTGAAAGCATCTCTCATGCCTCAGGCTGCCCTGCGGGTCGTAAGGAATGAGGCGGCAGGGACATCATGTTGTTGCGGTTCGTTCGGAATGATCATTGCAGGTGTGTGGAGGTTGTAACGTCATGTCATTTTCACCAGCGAAATCGGGTCCATCGATCGGAACGGAAATGTTTGTGAAAAGGATTGTAAGAATACTTAAAAAGGCGGTAGGAGCATCTTTATGGACGTGCCATTGGGCTTGTTTCTCCGCCTCTGAAACAACGGGTGGTAATAAGTAGTCTGTGCCTTGACAATAGTACAGTACGCGAGCGTGCTGGCTCTGGAGAGCTTCCCTCCGGCAGCTTGAGCACTGCATATGATGACTGATCGAAGTCCCCAACGTCATCCCAGTGATCGCTATTGGACAGAGCACAATATGAAGAGGCATCAATGCCCAAGATGCGTATGCGTGGCGAAGCCAATACGGACCACATGTGCTCATGAGTACACGTGGATACATCATTTGCCCGAGTTCAATCTCGTCTCACAGTCCTTGCGATTGTGTATTAGATATTCTCTCGCCCATGCACTAGGTTGTACCTGGTTGTCGGTGAGAACAAAAAATTGCTCGTCTTTGGAGCCTGAGGCTCCACAAACTTCAGACCCTCTTAATGAGTGTCCATTTTCCCACGAAGACCACGACGATGTTGGAGGTGGATTTTTGCTTGTGAAAGCCGGCATCGACCAAGCGGTCCGCGTCCCGACCGTCGGCCCGCCTGTCACTTAGACCCGATCGAGGACGTCGCCTCATCTGGTCTCGCATGTGACATCCTCTTGGATCATCACACCAAGTTTCCAACTTGCACCGTATCTCTTCTGGCTACACGTTGTTCACGTTTTCAAGCGACGTTCTGTCAAACAATTGGTTTGCATTGATAAACCTCACCAACCGGATGACCTTGACGACATCGCTTCGGTTCGATAAGACCCAATTTGACAATCCACTCTACGGAGGACTGAACAAAGCAAGCATTGTGGCCACCCAGGAGCACTTGTGATCACGAACAGCAGCACCGGTCCTCAACATTCGACCTCGTGCTTGTACAGCCTGGCTCGCACAAACCAGGTGCCAGAGAGTTGTGGATATTGTTTCGGATCAGCGTTCCCCATCAAAATCGGCAGCAATCGAGGAAATAATCGTATAATCCGCCAGCATTCTCGACAGGACAGAGCCAGATCATCACGCGACAGCTCTCCGAATTCGCACGAATAGCGATTCCGGACGACCCAACCATACTTCTTGCTTCTCAAATTTGTGCTAAGAGTCCCGTTTTTGTATCATCAAACTTTTTTGATAAAGATGGAGAAATACGGGCAATATCGAGACAAAGGTGAGTAGAAACTTCTCAAACCACCATGCTGGGCCGCAACTCTAATTCAAGAATTACGTAGGATCTGGCATTGCGCCATTCTTTCCAATCCCATCCCCTCCCAGCAATCCAGCTTTGATACCATACCACATCGTAAGTTCTCGACAAACTCGCCAAAGCAGAAAGCTCGAAAATTGACTCGCAATGTAGTTTCTATTTTTTTTCCGGTTACCATTCGGGATCTTCGCCTGGGCCATATGGATATTCCTTGTGCAATGGACGCCAGCCGGTGGTGCTCTTCGCAAGGCCAACCTGTGGTGTATACTCGGTCTACCGGGCGTGTGGTGGATTGATATCCGTGTGGATGGAGTTCAGCGCGGGTGAGTGATGATCCTCTCAGACCGATCAACACAATTACCAGGAGAAGGCACATTTCTGACGATGCGTTTTCATACAAACAGCTCTTTAGGTAAAGCAGGTCGCTTGCCAGGCCCGGGCTCTATTATTGCATCTTCATATACGTCGCCGCTTGACGTGCTCTACCTCGCGGCCATCTTCGATCCGATATTCACCCAAAGCTTTCAAGGATCAAGGGAAGTGCAAGTCCTCTCTCTGGAACGGGCACTCGCATCATGTTTCTCTCTACCGCCTCCAAAGCCTGCTGACACGATCAGCCTCGCCGAGCTGGTGGCCGCCAACCGGCGACGCGTGATTGTCGTATTTCCTGAATGCACAACGAGCAACGGAAAAGGTGTATTGCGCCTTTCGCAGTCCCTGCTATCCGCCTCCAAAGGTACCAATATTTTCCCGGTCTCGCTTCGGTACTCCCCAGCGGATGTCGTTACTCCCATCCCGGGATTTCTCGAAAGTATAAAATTCGTCTGGACCCTCTTCTCCCGTCAAACACACTCCATCCGCGTGCGTGTCGGATTCCCTGTCAAGATGGCACAGCTCCAGCAACAGCAGCCACCGCCATCATCGATTGGAGCAAGCCAAAAGTCCCAACGTCCTCAAGTTCAGCACGCCCTTTCGTCATCTTCCGACAAAGATTCGGAAGAAGACCAATCCTCCTCCCGTCCCGCCACCGGTACCCGAAAAAGCAGTGGCTACGACACGAATTTCTTCGACAATTTCCCTCCTCAAGCCAGCAGCAACAGTGCCCTCGCTCCTGCGCAGAAAGTGGGCGAAAGCGGGCTCGACGGTCTCAGCAGTGATGGTGACGATGACGATCTCTTTTCGACATCATCATCCTCATCCGCCGTTGGAGGAAAGCGGCCTTTCTCCCGTCTCTCCTCGGTCGCAGAGCGACAAAGTCTGGAAATTGTCGCGGAAAGTCTGTCAAGGCTGGGACGGGTGAAGACTTTGGGTCTGGGCGTTGAGGAGAAAATTGGATTTGTAGAGGCGTGGCAGCTTGGCGGAAAAGGAAGTGCAAGGAAGGGTGCGTCAAAGAAAATTCGATGAAAGGGCTGGGCATGTGTGTGGGAAAAAATTGCCTTCTGAGTGATGCGAACGCTGAGCAAAGGAAATTAATGCCGGACGAGGAGAAAATGTGCTTATAAGAATATGTTTGACATAATAAGATTACTTGGCCAGTCCATCAACAGGGATTCAGTGCTTCCAAAAAGACTATTTGCCTCTTCTAGCTGGCGTTGGCAAAATGAGACGTGGTATGCTCCTGAGCATTGAAGACCGTAAGGCATAGAACCTCGTCACTCATCACTCATCGGACGAATCGCCATCATGGTCCGCCTCCTGCCGAGTGGACTTTCCCGAAGTCTTACTCGCTGCTATAAGCGCGTCCCACTTCAAGCGCTGTTTCTCCTTCTGCTGCTCTAGCTGCGAAATTGGCGGCTTTGACGCCAAAGCGGGCGCGTTTACCGCCGAGGATGGCGCCTTGAATGCCGAGGCGGACATGCTATCGGCAGGCTTTGAAAGAGGATGCTCGGGCGTGCTGGATTGGATCTTGCTACTGTTGCTGTTCTCCGGGTGGTGAAGACCGTTGCGCTCGCGATATTCGAGAACAATGCTGCGGGCGGGAAAGCTCTCGATGGGTTCCCAGGTTGGCTCATCGTAGCCTTCCCATTTGACTTGGTACAGCATGACAGGTCTCTTGTCGCCGCTGCCAGAAGGATGGGTGCGTGGGTCGGATTTGCGGTGGCCGAGGATTGCTTCGACGACGTATTCTTCCTTCGGCGTGAGGGGACTATCATCGGCTTCTTGCTTGGGATGACTGTCTTGCATGACTTCGTCGATGACCGGGACTTGTCGGTTGTGCGATGTGTCGAGTCTTCCAGGCACTGTGGCTGTATTGGCTTCGGAAGATTGTTTGCGATTCGTCGATGATGGATCATTGTATTTCAAGCCGACGCGCTGATGGTACTCCTGTACAATACTGCGGTCTGGAAAACTCTCGATAGGCTCCCAGGTCAATTCTTCATACCCTTCCCATTTGACCTGATACAGCCTGATGGGTTTATGACCGAATTCGGGCAGGTGTGTCCTTGGATCCGACATACGGTGGCTGAGGATGCCTTCGATGACGAATTCCCCATCGCCATCTTCACTCTCAGCATCGCTTACTTCCTGGGGGCCTGGGGTCATTGTTGGATGAAGCATGCTAGTCTTTCTTTGATTTTTCGACCTGTCTGTTACACTGCTTGCTTTGGTCTTCTGGAATGGCGAAACCGTAATCTCTTGATCAGAACTCGCCTCACTGTCATTTCCATCAAGGCAGACATTTGGTCTTGTCAAGCTGGTCCGTGATTGAGCATGGGGTTGCATTGTACTTTTCTTGGGACTATGCCGTAGCGCTTTTCCGGTTGCATCTTTTGCTCCCACGTCCAAGTCTGAAATATTAATGACAGGAACCCTCTGCGTCTCATCAGACTGTCGCCTTTTCGCTCTTAGCGTATCTGATGTAACATGGCTACCTGCTGAATCGATAATGATTGTCGACACTGTTCGTTGACTGCTCGAAGGAAGCGACTCGCCTATCTCGCGTGTCGTAGGTACCGATCCGTACAACCGAGGGCGTTTCGAATCGGGCTCTCCTCGAATGCTAAGGTTTTGGAATTTGCCCGACGAGATATTTGGCTCCTCAGCAGCAGGATCATATACCCAACCAAGAGGCATAAGCTCGTTAGTGACCGGATGTCTTCTACGCCGTGGACGCTTATTTAGATCCGGTACATATCCAGGGACTGCAGGAAGAGCGTCTCCATGTACTGTGGCTGATTTAGGCTTGACTTCTACTTTAGCTTCTGGAGAGAGCGGCAGCAGCTCTCCGGTCTCGGGATCTCGTTTACGCCGCCTTCTGACCTTAGCGGGCTGTAGATACAGGTGTTTGTAGGTAGGTCGTGCGCGTCCATGCTTTCCGACCGGCTGCGGCGATGTATAACGTGGCTCGGCTACGTCGTCACTTGATGTAGCAGAGGATTCTGATTCTTGCATTCGTTCCAGTTCAAGCTGCTGACGTTTGTACTTTCGCCGAGCCTCTCGTTCTTGCTTTACTTCATTTTCAAGAAGATTTAAGAGCTCGCGCTCTTCAACAAATTGAGCGTTCTCGAACCTTTCAAGTTCAAAAGCTGATACATAGTCCAGAATCTCGTGAATTCCAACATCCCCAATTTCGACACCTCCAATGTCCAGAGTGTATGCCACTTGGCCCTCAGCGACCCGACCGGTGATAGTCGCGTGACGGGGAGCAAGCTGCGAAGGCGCAATAGGTAGGTAGTGCTCGTCGTAGGTTCGTGCTGGCGTCCGCCACTTGCTGAGATCTTTCTCAATTGCGACGTGTTTCGGCGATATGATAGGTACCAATTTGTTCAATGACGGCGGCATAGTATTAAGTGAGAGCACGCTGACGAAGTCGGCAAGCGGAGCTTGCGAGGCGACGCTGGCTCCTCGTACGTGTTCGCACTTCCAATTTCGGCTGTCACTTAACAAGCCATACGTCCGATAGCGCAAATACCTTACAGCAATGAAGCCAATTAATGCCTGCGAGCAGTACTCTCGCCTTTTCTGAATCGAAATGTACGAGGGTAAGGAGTACGTAAGGAGACATATAGAGTAGAAAAGTTAGAGGGCTATTAGTTTTCTAAATTATAAAGATTCACTTATGGACTAGACATCCAGCTCAGTAGATTCAGCTTAGTCAGCTAGCGCTATTGTAAATCAAATATATAATATACCATAATATAATAGGTGTATATATTTGTCTGAAAAATGACTATATTTATAAGTTATATAAACTATTTTCGAGATCTTGAATTTTAAGATGTAATTTAGTTTAGTAGTTATTTTTAATAAATAGAGTTGATAAAGTAGTATTCTATTCATTTCTATATCCTGCTTAAAATAGGTTAGCTAGTACCTATATTTTATCTTTGAAAAAATCTAATAGGCAGAGTAATAGTCAAATAGTTTACTTATATTTTTAAAGTAGGAAATTACGGACCAACTTCGATCGATGTTTATATTCTATTACTATAAGGTACTGCAAGACTCAAAGATAAGTCGAGTGTATAGGATACCTAGCGTCGATGCGGCTCGGGCGAGAAGTACTAACCGCTCAACCGCTGTTTGCATCAGCTCAAGGCCAGGCAGCTATGAATTATTTTCTCTGTGGCCAGCTACACGATGGAAAGAGCCCGCGCGATAATGTTCCAATACCTCTCTTCCACCACAAAATTCATTCGGGTCATCCGAAAGATCAAAGTTCCCGCTCCCGGGTACACCATCGAAGTTTCTCGCGATGCAGATAGCACGTGCTTCTACCTCCGGATCAAAAAGACATCTCATCGCACCGGCGACCACATCTGTAGTGTCCGCCACCCAGATTCCGTTATCACGTAATGAAGCAAACACGGCTGGTTCCATTAAGGGCGTTTCTGTATAGCCAGGCGCGAGTAGGTTCACTTGCATGTTTGCGAAGTCTGCGGTGTCGTGACGGAGTGCGCCCCATATCCCGCGGATGCCATGTTTGGAGGCGCCGTAGTCGGGACAACCGTGCTGATCATAGTAGCTGGCGAGCGATCCCAAGAGAAGCAGCTGAGGACGAAATGGGGGGATGATGACGTCGATCGCGCTATCCGGAGGAACAATCAAGGCAGACTGCTGCTGCTCACGCGCAATGACGGTGAAGTACCAGGTAGCAAGATGAGCTGTGAAGTATGCGCCTGTGACGTTGACGTCGAGCGTAGTCGTCGGAGGAGCGGAGGGTTCTGTACCGAGATTTGAGGGATTTAGGTATTCGCGGATGTTGTTTGGGCGGAGGCCAGCGCTGAAAACAACAATGTCAATGCGATTCCGGGCCCACGAGAGAACCTCCTTGAATGCTGACTTTTGTGAATCCCAGGAAACAACATCTGTGCGGATGAACTTTGCACTCCGCTCCCGAATTTCTAGCAATTCACGTGTTGCAGTGGCACCATTCGCTTCGTTAATGTCTAGGATCGCGACGAGTGCTCCATGGCGGACCAATTCTGTCGCGATAGCAAGACCTATGCCAGAAGCGCCGCCGACAATGATGGCTACTTTGTCTGCGACGGTGCTGTAGTCAATCGGCTTGTCGAAGTTCGCTTTGGCCGTGCCGATCATGAGAGCCTCGGGAATGCCTACGGCAGCATCTTGGGTAGATTCGCCGTGTGAGGACGACATCGTCTTTTGCAGATCTAGTTGAACCTGTGAGTCCGTCTTGAGGAGGATGAGAACGCAATTTTGTGGTAGCTCAGTGCAAGGGAGTGGGGACTTTTTGAAGCCTCTTGACGAGCGTGAGCACTATTGTATATCCCCGCAATCCTACGGGGGCATATCAAGGACCAACTGGGCGTCATGGGACTGAAACTCAAGACTCTTCGAGCTCAGTGCCATATGGAGAGACATTGCACACAGGATAATAGATTCGGGATCTCAAAATAACATCGTGCAGGTGCGCGTGGAAGATCAGTCACAAATAACGAGCAAGCGACGTCGGGGTCGGCCTAGTCTCACTATGATCGGCGCCAAAGCTCCGCTTGAGGCGCCTCCTGTGCAGCAGTGGGTCCGTGTGAAATCTGACCAGTCGACCACCGAGCGCGGATCTAAGGATCCGTGACAGGAATCTCACGAATTCTTGTAACAACATCGTCATTCCATTAAATTTCAAACTAACGAGTCGCGAAAGCTCACGGCCGCAACCATCACAGGCGCGCTTCTCCGAGGCGCAAACGTGCATGTGGCATGGGCTGTCCTCACGCGCCCGCCAAGACCGTCCCTCCGGTCAAGCGCTTGCTTTATTCTTCCCAGTCCCGCGGCATCTCTTCGTTCGTGATGTCGATTACATCTCGAACATCTTGCGCGTTGAGCTCGTGGCCTTCGCTGATGGCGAGCAAACGTGCCATTTTGATAGTATTCTTGATTTGCCTACCATTCAAATTTCTTTCCGCAAAGCTTTCGATGCATTCCTGAGAAATGGCGTGAGGTGCCAAGCTTAAGATGTTCTTCCACACAGCGGTGCGAGCGTCGTGATTCAAGTTCGAGTAGCGGAGGGTCAGATCAATGCGCGAGTGAAAGGCCTCGTCGAATTCGACTTCACGGTTCGAGGTCAGGATCAGGATTCCGCGGAAGTATTCAAGCACCCGAAGGAAAACGGCAACACGCTTATTCCGTTTCAGATGCTTTGAGTTCGAAGTTCGGCGCTCAAGGAATGCATCAGCTTCGTCGAGCAGAAGCACGACGTCCCAAGCCTCGGCCAGCCGAAATATCTTTCTCAGATCGTCCTCCAGGTCTTCGATATCGTCACTAAGCTGAGAAGTATCGATTGCGTACAGAGGGAGATGCATCTTATCAGCGATAGCCTCTGCCGTAAGAGTCTTTCCTGTACCAGGCGGACCATTGAGCAGGAGGATCAGTCCTTGACCTTTGCCCTTGATCATATCATCAATGCCGTTCCTTCGCTCTCGCTGCGTCTTTGCCAAAGCGCCGAGGATGCGCTTTCGGGAATGCGGTATGACGAGCCGATCATATGCGGCGTCGTTGAACTCAATAGGCGAGATGTTTTCAACTCTGAACTGTAACCACCTCTTGCTGGTGAGGCAATGACCTCGCACTTGAGGTGGACAGAATGCCTCAGGTGGGGCACCGAACTCACTGAGAGTCCAACGGTGCATTACCAAGACATCACTTGTGGCGAAATTTGTTCGACCCGACCTCTGAGCCGCGCAAATGCTTGGTTTCTTTAGATCATATGATTCGTCGTTGATGTACGTGCTGGATTTGTTTGGCTTTGGTGGAGGTAAGCCAGATAGGGAATAAGGATACACCAAAGGCACCATAGGATCGGGGAATGTCTGAATGACACCAGGGACAGAGGTATTGTCGCAAGCTGCATAATCAGAAGAGCTCAAACACGCTTCACCCTCTGGCACAAGAGACCGAAGTCCGTGCGGGTAAGCTGTCAAGATGATCGGCGAGCTGTGCTCTCCATATTTCGCAGCATCTATGACGATGCGGCTTTCGTCAAGACCAGCTGCCGGAGATCCTTGGTATGCTTTATAATTGTCCCATTGGAACGCGACGAAGCCTTTTCCCCTAGTCTCGAGACGATGCAGGATATCGGGGTCTGTTGTGTAGTACTTAATGGGTAACACACCAAGCTCCGAAACATGCTTCACACCGTCGAACTCTTGAACCATCACAGAAGTTGTTGTCCAGCCGTACCGATAACCATCGCAGTCGATGTAAGCGACGTCGAGGTAGAAGATTCTCTTGAAGTCGTGTAGCGATGGGGCATATCGACAATTCACTACGAGAGCGCATTGCTGGTCGAGCCCGTTACGGCTGAGCACTACACATCCCGCAGGGAATATAGTCCACAGGAGCTCGAAATCGATCATCTCACGTGATATCAGATCAGAATATCGTTGAAGGGCGCCTTCAAACTCCTCATACAACACATCATGCAGAGCAGCAAGGAGTTTCTTCTCCATTCCACTCAGATCTGAGTGTAGCATGTTCGTCAGATCATCCCAACGGTGAAAGAATGGATGGAGCGGCCCATTTAAGGTCAGATCCTGTACGTTGGTGGCAATTCCTGGCCAATCCTTCAATATGATCTGTACCATCGCTCGAAGGGCGTGATTTTGGATCGAGATTGAGGTGATGGTATACGGATTAACGTTGGTGGAAGGGGGCGTAGCTCTGTAGCAAACCAGAAGCGCAGCGTCTCGCCACTTTTTCTTGAAATGAGGTTTGCCAACTTTTGGGGCCTCTTCGACCCATTTTGTGCCGTCCTTTCTGTTCCGAATTTCATAGAGCTTTTTCACTTGATCACACGCTGTGGATTCATTTGAATTATCCGTTTCGTCCACATCAGAAGAGTCTCCGAGACTTTCGTAGAGAGATGGTGCCTGTGGGCCTATGCCCGTGCCTATGGCCATGCCAGGGAAGGGTATGCTCGGGAAATCATCTTGCACTCCTGATGGCTTTGAGACTTTATGCCGTACCATGATTGAGTTCAGAAAGTGAGAGTTGACCACGAATCTGGGTGCAAATATCACGATCAGTCACACTCACAGACGAGTATCATGTGCCTGGCGTAAATGCAGTGGTAGAACGAAGGGCCGCACCAGTCAACCCAATAATGCTGGCGATTTTAGTATTCAGGTCAGTGTGTTGTCTCCGACGACAGCGGTACCTCTCGCAAACCTTTGGAATATTGTTGGACCAAGATTTTCTGAAAGCAAGAAACACGTCTCGGTAAACTTTCGAGCAGCGTGCTTTGAGGTTCCAAGAAGAATAAGCACAACATACGGCGTCTTATACTACAAATTTAGGGGCCCCTTCAGGTCTTTGACCCTCCACACCAGCAGATTCATGCGAGGTTTAGAAACAGGCTATCACGATATATAAGTGCAGGTGCTGAGCCATGGGTTTGGCGAGGCTAGTCTGCCAGAAACACTTCGGTGGACGGGTACTGAGGATGGCCTCTCTCTGTATGCACTTACCTTACAGCTTCGAGTGGAGCCGACAGCCACACATATGAATGTAGCGCTACCACGAGCGCTAACATGAGCTCGAACGTCAATTGTGATTTGCATCGGGTTGTTCGATCACTATTGCATTCTCACCGGTCAGACTCCAAGATCTTCCTAGTGGGGTAATACGCCACCATCACCAAAGCAGCCGCCTGCATGCATGAAGACACTCAACTCAAGGGTACCAGGGTACTGGGCTGTAGCTACAGCACTTGCAGGTGAATTCACGAGCACTTGGTATGTATGTATGGGCTGCAGGTTCAAGGCATTTGCTGGCCCGGAAGACATGCAGACTCTATTGTGTAATCACATCGGTCGACATATTGATCACCGGTATTCTAGTGCAACTGGAGGAATCTGGTAGAGAGGACGTCCCATTGCGAAATCTAGACCACGTTTTTGAGGACTTCAACTGGCATCATGAATCTACATCAGCTGGGCTTTACCTGGAGGGAGCAATGTATTCACGAATTGATGAAGGCCCGGTCGCTCGATGATCCTACGGGACACATCTGTGACCTGCTTCGATCGGGTCATTTAAAGATTCCAGTTGCAGATTACACCATAGCTGATGATGAGGTGACGCGAAGCTATGTAGTCTCAATCTGCAGATGTGAGCTCATCAACGAATCATTCCTGCAGAAGTCAAGTGGCTTGATCGTGCGTCTTCTCCATCACGAACTCCCAGAGTTTACGGAACACAACGACGCTACCCTCGGTATCGCATGGACCATCTTGGTTCGACATATGAGGCAAAGCTTGAGCAGCTCTTTCGATGAGAAACTGTTTGTGTTCTTGCTTGAGTGTTTATGTCAAGAAGAGACCACCATTGTCAGTCCAGCCTCACAAGACCATAACTCAATCTATCAACCACTACCGAAAGATAATGCCTCTTTTCGTCTGATTACTCTACTACCGGCGCCTTCGCTCAAAGAGACAGTTCGCTGTAGACTCTCGCATTCTTCTTCGCTGGATAAACCTAAATATGAAGCTATATCCTTCGTATGGGGCAGTCAAGAGAATAAATGCAAGGTTTTAATTGACGACCAGGATTTTTCGATCACCCAGAATTTGCACGAGGTTTTGCTGACATTGCGTGACTTATCCGTGTCTAAAGTCATATGGGTCGATGCAATATGTATCGACCAAAGCAATCTGGAAGAAAGGGCTTCTCAGGTGAAACTGATGGGCAAGTTGTTCCAGATTGCTGAGAGGGTCGTTGCATGGCTAGGCCTTGGCTTCCCGGGAGCTAAAGACATATTTGCACTTTTCGACGAGCTGATCAATAAGACTGACCTCAGACGGGAGTTCCAAAATAAAGAATTGGACTCACAACATCCGTGGAGAGTTCTGAATGATGCTCTTGGCAAAGTTTTCACGCAACACTTTTTCACTAGAGCGTGGATCTTTCAAGAGATTGTGTTGCCCGAAAACGTCATCATCCAGTGCGGAACCAACTCATGCTCTATAGAATCGCTCCGTGTAGCATTGGCAGATTTGAGCAGTACATGGGCAGATTTCACGCTTCTGCCGAGGAAAGCATGCAGTCTCGAAAGACGCCGAGATTTGCAGGCTTCTGCTGACGAGACCATAGTCGGAGCTTCTCAAGTGCGGGCAGGACCGACACCGATGCTCCATATGCGAGAACTTGTTGGTCGGGGACTTTCTTCCTCCCGAATCGCGCAATCTACTATTCGAGAAGTACGAAATCCTGTTGTCGCTATTCTCCAGGCAGCACGAACCAGAGAGAGTGGAGTTCCGAGGGACAAGATATTCTCGATGCTGGAGATCTATCGCATTTGTGCAGGGACAGAGTTGCCACTCGTTGAACCCGACTATCATCGATCATGCGAAGCAATCATGATCGAGGCTGCAGAGAACATTATCCTTCATCAAAATAATCTGGACATTCTATCGTGCGCTGCCGATCACCGCCATCGTCGAGACCGTATACTTCCCTCGTGGGTCCCGGACTGGAGAGAGCAGCTTTGTCCCGAGATGCATTTCAATGGATATTCGCTAGGATCAGCCATTGCCAAGACCGAACATACGTTTTGCAAGATTAGAGATGATCACCGGCTACTCGAATCCTGGGGCTATATTCTCAACAAGATCGATCGCGCAATCCGCATTGATATCTCTGATCGAGAAGCGTTCGCTAACAGTGTCTTGGCTTCAGCTAAGATGGTCAGCGATCCTTCTGCCCACGATAACTACGGCACCAAGGCGTTCTGGCTTTCAATTTTGTTCTTCCTCGATGCTCGTATGTTCGACATCTATCAATGGAGCTTCGGCGGCCAGTGCGATCCCACCGAAGCACATGGAGAGGATGCATTGCCTGACGGCGATGTGCGGAAGCTAGAATCTCTCAGCGCCCCACAATTCCCGCCGCGATCACGAGATGCTGCAGTCGAATTGACAGACGTACTCTGGAAATATTTCTACTCCGAGAAATTCCCGCAGTGGATCTACGACGGTTCAAATATCTTCTTGACTCGCATGGGAAGCTGCGTTGTGGCTCCGAAGACGGCGAAGAGTGGGGATGAGATCGTCCTCTTCCCAAACACCGCGTACATGTTCACGTTGCGGCGTATCTTCGAGTATCACCATGTCACTGGACCCTGGTGAGTCTCTACCGCTTTGATTCCTTCGCATTCACTTTTGCGCTGACTTCTGGTTACAGTCGTTTCACAGACCCCGATGACATCGACATGATCCGAGAGCGATACTCTTTTCTTCCGCGCACCGAATTCTTGATAGCATGAGCCACGGGCTGGATGCAAATTCTGTTGTCTTTCCCTTGCCAGGTTTACCTCGCAGATACGCACACACACGCCTTTCCCGCTCCCGTCATTCACGACAATCTTGTCATCTGCGGAGTCCTTTCGTTCAGTGGTGTTTTTGTTATTCGGGAAGGCATAAATCGACCCCATCTTTAACCTACACAGCATGTGCAATGCTCCCTCCAGCGGATATTTCCCAACTCTCCCACTAATCGACCTCGCCCAACCTCCTCTCCCAATCCACTCTCATCGCCTCCATCTCCTTCCACGCCTGCCTGCCCTGCTCCTCAAACTCCACCCTCCCTTCCTCCGTGAGCTCTTTCCATCCCCGGAATCTGCCCAGGGAACCTGTCACACTTCCCGGCGGAGTCTCGCCAATTTTACCCCCAAATCCCCACCCTTCGACCTCTGTCCGACCTACATATTCCTGGCCCCAAACATTTACTGCCGAGCCCCATTTGCCCTTCCCGGAGATTGATTCGGAGTGGATGATGTCGTCTTGGCCACCATCGCCTCCCGAGGACGATGATGGAGTTGGACTGAGGAGGAGTTTGACAACAGCCACCGCGCCTTTGTACGGCGTGATTCCATGCCAGGGACTCCCCAGCCAGCGCGCGATGTAGAAGACGAGAACCATGAAAAAGGCCATGACGGGGTTCAAATCGGCGATGGAAGTCCCCACGACGCCGGGATGGGTGACGAACATCTTCGGGCGGGCATCCACTTTACCCTTCTTTTCTGCTGCAGATGACGATACAGGGAGGAAGGAGTCTAGGTAGCTTGCTGTGGAAGGTAATTCGGAGGTTAGAACGAGTAGGTCGGTGAGACGCTTGGAGCCTTCGTAAGAAGGCTCGTTGGTCAGACTCTGGATATCTGCGGGGGAGAAGGTCTCGGTGAGAGCGGTGATGCTGGATGTCCAGATGATTCGGGTTTGCGAGGTGAACAAGGGTCGCAGCCAGTGGGTTAGGAGATAGTGGCCGAAGACATTGGCGGCGAAGATGCGGCCGACGCGAGGTTCTGAGTCATCCGGGGGAGTTTGAGATGAGGAGATGGATTTCGCGTCGGATTTCGAGTCGGCGAGCTGGGGTTTGGCGAGCAGACCGACTTCGCAGAGCATGTAGGAGGGATAGGTCGTGGTGTGCACGAGATCGGTGAGGACGAGCCATGTCGCGGATAACCAGTTCAGGCCGCGCCAATTGGCGATACCTGCGTTCCAGACTACGGCATCGAGTTGTTGGCCGCGCTGGAGTAATTGCTTTGCGAGCGCCTTGATGGTTGTGAAGCGGAGGAGATCGACTTGGACCCCTTCCAGTTTGATTCGAGCGACGCTGGTCAGAGGTCGTTTGTTGTGAGACTTGTACACGGTGTGGTCCAGGTGCAGTCGGAGACGTCGCTGTGTGTCGTCGCTTTTCTTGACATCTCGCGTAGAGAAGAGGATATGCAGTGAATGTGAGGCAGGTCTCGTCTCGAGAAACTCGTCAATTACACGACAGCAGATTGAAAATCCAAGACCGCTATAGTTGGAGTAATTTCGTCAGCATTTCTGTCACTTTCGATCAGGGTAATCCGGTGACACTCAGAATTGTGTCGCTCGAATTGTCCAACGCGATGATCTGGAGATGACCGTATGAGACCCCGTGAGATGGTGTCGACATACCTGTTTGCGCCTGTAACAAGGACTCTGTACACCTCTTCCTCATCATCTCTCTTGTCTCCTTGATCAGTCGGCATTTTGATTATGTTGTCTCAGATGAACAACCATTGACAGTTGGACTACAAACGATGGAGCATTTCATCATCACCGCTGTCAGGGGCGGCGAATTTCCAGGGTTTGGGTTAAACACGTTGGAACTTCTACCCTAAAGAATCGTTCGATTTCCGCGGACAAAGCAATGAAGATGGAGATCAGACGCTCTACATGCATCCGCTCGAATTGATCTTTCAATCTCTCGAAGCGGAACGATGTAATGAAGATCTCACGACTCCTGCCATAACGCCACCACGAAGTGTTGTCGTGTGCGCTCCCCTGGCAAAGTCACCGTAAGATCGCTGCCCTACCGCTCAAGCGTGAAAAGAAACGCAGGACCGAAACTTTCCAATGATCGCCACACCCACACGGCACCATCAAAATTCAGAAGTGAGGTTGCGACAGTGGTCGCAGTGCATTAAACATCATTTCAACCATTGAAACATCAATACGCAAGGGTAATTATCGTGTGTAGAGGGAACCAACCCTTGAAATCATTGAACCCTTCACTATGTCATCATGTCCACTGTAACAAATCCCGTCGTCAGAGCAACAATCGATATCTCCTCATGACTCGCGCTCAAGCTTTCTCGAAAGAATTCCTAAATCGAGCGAACGTGCAACCCGGATTGGAAGACCTGCACGGCAAAGAACAATTCCGAACATCACCACTCCACGTCAAAAGAGACTCTCCCATAATGTCATAACCAACCGACCGACCAACCATCTGCGCGCCTTGCCTCCAAATCTCCCCAAAACACACGCCAGAGAACCCAGAGACAAAATGACGCACCAAGCCGACGCCAAACGCGCGCTCGACGACCGCGGCTACACCGGCCACCTCATCCACAACGACAACCCGCTCAAGCTCCTCCCCAAGCCCGTGCGGGACCGCATCACCGACAGCTACTACTGGAAGGAGCAATGCTTCGGGCTCAACGCGGCCACGCTGCTCGACCGCGCGCTCGAGCTCACCTACATCGGCGGGACGCACGGCGCGGCGCAGAAGCCCTCTCCCTTCCTCTGCCTGGCCTTCAAGCTGCTGCAGCTCACGCCGGCGAAGGGCATCATATTGTTCTACCTGGGCCTCGCGGGGGAGGAGTTCAAGTATCTGCGCGCGCTGGCGGCGTTCTACGTCCGCTTGACGTGGGAGGTCGACGAGGAGGTGTACACCACGCTGGAGCCGCTCCTGAGCGATAAGCGGAAATTGCGACGCAGGATGAGGGAGGGCTGGAGGATCACGTTTGTGGATGAGTTCGTCGATGAGCTGCTGATGGGCAGTCGGGTCTGTGCGACGCCGTTGCCCAAGATTCATCCTAGAGCCTTTTTGGAGGATGAGGATCGGCTTGAGGAGAGGGTTAGTGCGCTAGGGGAGGAATTAGATGAGTTGGATCGGGGGGGAGATGGTGATGATGAGGAGGAAGGAAGGTTGGGCAGTGGCAGCGATGAGGGCGAAGTGGAGGAGATTCATGTGAGGGATTTGGAGATCAGGAATGGATTTCGTAGGGGATCGGGGAGTTCGCGGGAGGAGGGATCTGAAGACGCGCGGCGAGGCAGCAACAACGACGAGATGGACGACGGAGATTGAAACAGTTCATTCCCGGGTAGAAAAAGGAACCAAAAAACCCTTCGGTTGAATCACGACCCGGGCAGAGATGAAATTCTACGCTATCGAACTCCTCAGCTCCTCCAGCAATTTCGGATTCCTCGCCAGAAATCCACCCGCGATCGCCGCCGCACCCGCGACGGCGCCCAGGACATACAATGTCGTTTTACTGGGCCGCAATTCCTCGTGCACTCGACCCACATGGATCTTCTTCCTCCCGCCGACTCTCGGGACCGTTGATGGAGAATCGGCCTTGTCCGAGTCGTTGCTCTGCTGCACCACTACCACATCAAAGTCCTCCTCGAGCCGCACGTTCGATACCAACTTTTGATAATCCACGACGTTGCGACTCCAGTTGTTCACAATTCTGCCCTCGGCGGTCTTATACCACGAGTTCACATTCGGATCGTTCCACGCACTGGCCTTGAGTTCCCCTTGGATTTCCTCATCAAAGGCCGCGACCCGCGCGGGTTTGGGGGTGAGGCGGATGGGCTGATTTTGGCGTTTCGCTCGGAGAACCTCGCCGATCATGCCGTTGATGTATCGGCTTTGGGCCTCGAGCATGAGGATGATGCTGTTGTGGCCGAGGTTGGTGTTGGGTCCGTAGAGCATGCCGAAGTTGGGCATGGATTCGACCGCGATGCCGTAGAGCGCTCGTGCGCCGCCTTCCCAGACATCATGGATCGAGCGGTGGTCCAGACCGTACATTTTGATCGGGTGCATGAAGTCGAGGGATTGGAACCCCGTGGCGCAGACGATCAGGTCGTAGTCGGAGAGGCTATCGGTGGGTTCATTCGTCTCGGGATCGATGACTTTGATGTTTTTGCCGCAAACGCCGTGGATTGGACGGGTTTCGAGATCGACGTTGGGTCGGAGAAGTGCTGGGTAGTAGTCGTCACTGGCGATGATACGCTTGCAACCGACTCTGTATTTGGGTGTGACTTTCTCCTGAAGTTCCGGGTGGCCAGCCAACGATTTCGCGATATGCTGCAAGAATGATTAATCATTGATCTCTGGTCGAGAAAGGAAGATGGCATTAATCTGTCGGTCTCGGAAACATGTCCTACTCACATTGCTAGCCCTCTGGTGCGCCATTCTGGCGATCGTGCCTGCCTCTCCCTTGAGCGCATTATGCGCCAGTTCGCCATATTCCATGGCAACGCCGCGCATAAAGGACATGGCGCCGGGAACATATCGATAGACACCCTGTGTCACAGCCGAGACGGGCCTGTCGGATCGCGGCACCAGCCAATTGGGAGTACGTTGAAAGACCGTAACATGTTTGGCGACTTTGGCGATCTCGGGCAGGATTTGAACCGCCGTGCAGCCTGGATTGCGATCTCTTGATTAGCCAACACTTCTCGTCTCGCCTTGAGCAAGTGATGGTCATATAGGAAAGCAGGTCGACCTACCATTCCCCAACAGCGCAATCTTTTTATCGTTCAGATCATATGACCAATCCCACCTCGCGGAGTGAATAATCTTGCCGTCAAATCCATCCTTGTCCAATCCTGGGATATCCGGATACTTCGGCGTGTTTAGCTGTCCGACTGCGCTGACCAAGAAATCCGTCCGTAGGGTATACTCGGGTGTTGACTCTGCCTCTTTGGTCCCTTCTGCTCTTTTCACTCGCACGTGCCATTGCTGGGTGGCGTCGTCCCATGTCGCATCGGTGACGGTCGAGCTGAAACGAACGTGTTGGTAGAGCCCGTAGGATTGCGCCACTCCGGTGAGATAGGCGAGGATCTCTTCTTGGCCGGGATAATTGCGCGTCCAGTCGGGGTTGGGTGCGAAGCTGTAGCTGTAGAGGATTGAGCCGACGTCGCAGCAGCAGCCGGGGTACTTGTTGTCGTTCCTGGGAGCATTCGCATGAGTGCCATGTGCTTCATATGTCTGCATCTGTCAGACATGGATCGGCGGCACTTTCGACTCACCATGTTCCTCCCAGGCTTGCTGATTTCTCCAGTATGATGAAGTTTCGACAGTTGTTGCGCTTGATGAGATCGATGGCGGCACACATGCCCGCCAAGCCTCCCCCAATGATGACCACGGCAGCGTTGTTGTTATCCTTGTTGCCGACCGGCACTTGCGGCCATGGTTTGTCGCCGGCCATCTTGATGTCGAATCAGGGCGAATATGCTGTGGTAAATCAGACGAGATGGGTAAGAGATGTGAGTGGGTATCTTAATACGGTGATAGAGACATGAAGAGATCAAAGGAGAGGAAGCATGAATATAGAGAGAGGGAGTGAGAGATCGGCGTATGACAGTGAGAGGGTGGTACTGTGCTACGAATATGTATCCCCATCCGTCGATCGAGCGATTGAGATAGCTGAATGCTACGGTACTAATAATGCCCTGTTATAGACTATAGCCCCGGAGTCTTCAAAGAACAGATGGTCAGCACGTCGATGATCACAAGTCAGATCGTGGAGTCCCATCAGACTGTTCCCGTTCGGTGCACGAATAGCGCTTGCTCCACTGTCCTCTGCTCCCCAAAAATGCGGCGCGCTGGACGTTCATTGCGTGTGAATGTTGGTGGCGGGGTTGTGAGATGCTTCTTACATGGCCCCTGCTGTACGAGTGCGAGCAGGATAGCTAGACGGTGCGAGGATAACAACAATGATACAGTACCTAGTATGCACAGTGAAGACACGACTCGGATGCGCGGAGTAGAGGCAGGACTGAACAGGAAGTACGTACAGTGGTTGCAGTAGCAGCAGTAGTACCTAGCTAGGTAGGTAGTCACTTGATGTTACTGTGCCTGCGACGCGCATTCTGCGTGGCTAGCTCCTTCCACAGGTCGTCCCGAGGTTGACGCGGATCCTCCTCCGCGTTTGATACCTACCTGGGAAGTAGGGTTCTGTTCTCGCCAGGGCTTACTACTAGGTATATGCAGTTAATAGTACTGTGTGGATGACGTCTTCAATGCCGGCCAACCATCTGTCCTCTGCGGAGTTGTTGTTGTCCAGGACGAGCCAAACTACTGCCGCGCAATGCTTCCCGTTCTTCCGATACATAGTAGGTGTGGAAACAACAACGATGTACAGTATACACAATTTCGCACCCATCGTGGAGTACTATCTACAGTAAAGTGTACATTGATGGACTCCCTAACACGATCTAATCGTATTTCAGATGCGGTTCAGCTATGAGCGTCTATGTCCAGGGCTAGAAAAAGAGCGTCCGAGATGGCTTCACAACTCACTCAGACGCACGACCTTCACGTAGCAACGAGTGAACTCGCTTCCCGTTGACGAGCAGATGTCCACAAGTATCTAGGTATCCTGAGGCTATTGGCAGCGTCTAATAACTCGAGATAGAAACAGTCAGATCCAAAGCTCTTCATTTGAGGTAATCCATGGATATAAGCATGCTGACTCATCAGCATCTCGTCGACAACTTCCTCCCAAGGGTTGGAGTCGTGGGGATGACCTCTGTTCGAGAATCCATGAACCTTACGAGGCCAATGCCGTGAGATATCAAAATGTGCAAGAGCATTTGACGGCCTTGCGGTTAGTTTCGCATCATCATCATCATCATCATCATCATCATCACCACCGATACCGAACAGCCGCAGATAGGTGTCTCATCACCACCTTGTCGCTGATCCTCCTGCCGAAAAGTTTTGTGGTGACGAATAAGTTAATGTTCTATGAATAGATTGGACCAGTTCCCTATGTGCCTATCTATGGTGACATCTATGGATATGTTCACGTTTCAAAATTCCACCAATGCCGACTACCACGGAACCATCACATCCAGGCCGAGTTCGCTACCATCGACTGTTGAATCTAGCCAAACGCGTCAATGTCGGGATAGGAATTGTCGATGTGACGATGATCGCGGGCAGATATTGCGACGCGGGGCAACTGAATGGACGGCTCGTCAATACGGCGATCCAGCGGGTCAGATATCCTAAGGAATATTTCGCGAGAAGTCGATCATGCCACTGCTCGTGTCCAGCTCCTGTCCCCACCCGTCTGCACCTGCCTAATAATGCCACTTCGCCGGAGAGCCATTGACGCGCCATCTGCTCTCATCACCTGGGCATTCTCATCAATTCCCATTCGAGCTCTCAATGGATTTCTCGACGATAGTTGTCTGTCCATTCATCTCCGGATGGATTCGGTCTCTTTCTCCCACGTTTCAGCGAGCTGCAGTAGCAGTATCGAACTGGAAGAACGTGCGATCGAAAAGACGGGTAACATAATTACCTAGGTAGGCGTCCTTGGGAAGCTCTCTCATCATAGCTCGGTGATGTGGTTGTTACCGTATGCCACCTTAGATTCGGAAAAGATAGACGACGAGAGAGACAAGAGGACGGCGATCGGTATGGATCCATGTTAAATGGCTGTATTGAATTTCTCGCTCTGAATTAAATGTTCAATGTATTTCCAATGGCTTCCTCTCCTTTCTACATGTTCGCCTTGTCGTCCGAGTTGAGCTTCCCTTGATCGATGTAAATACAGAAACAACTGCACAAGCATTGAGAGTTCCAAGGGTGCTATCACCACGATCATAACACAATACTCATCGGTTCTTGTCCAATTGTACCAGTACTGTCTGCATCCGAAGCCATCACTCTTCACCACCAACCGCACCGGATACTTCGTTCTGTATGTGTTATTGAAGTTAACAACAAGAAGACTCGGAGAGATTGGAATCGGACAGAGACGACCGCCGCTGACCCGTCCGTTCCCTGGGGAGCCCCGCCGCCCGCTGCACGCCCCGCTCCGTCCCAAAATCCCGCCAAGCTCAGGTCATCCTCTCTCGCTTTCTCGCCATTCTCCAGCTGGGCAGCTGTTCTCTCTGTGTCGCTTGCGTTCACGGTTCGGGCACGCCGCATACATCACGCACGTGTGCGGTACTCTACTGCGTGCTTCACACACCAGCAACAGCGGCTGGACGAGCTCCTTCGTCTTCTTCTCCCTCAGCTCACCCATTGTCGTCGTAGTTCTCCCTCTTCCTTCACCTCGCGACAAACATACTTTACCTCCTCCTCCTTCTCCTCCTCCTCCACCACCACCACCTATCACCCACCAATCCTCACGACCCTTATAATCCTACGACCTCGAGCGCATTCTTACCGGCGCATTGACATCATCGGCGCCATCGATAACCACCACCGCCTTTATCTACCAGCCACGTTTCAGCGGTAGCCCAAGCGAGGGAGCTTCGCCAAATCTCCACCGAGTGACCGCTCACAACGAATCCTTAATTTCACTGTGCACGTCGCGACGTGAGACACGCCGTTGGACCTAAACCTGTCATCTTGACTCCAGATATTACTTGCACTGTACCATTGGCCGCAGCCCGATTGTCGCACCACCGATCCGACCATCTCACCTACTGGTCTTCCGCATTGCCAGCTAAAAGATCGCCGCCTGAGACCTGTCGCTCTTTACAATATATGCCACTTCGAATGTGCGCCTGATGCGACAATCTCGTGGGTCTGACAATTTCAACCTGGAAAGCTAGTATCGTCGACTCGAAGACGCAGCCAGAGCGTCGCGATTGTGATCGTTATAGATCACGCTGTCACTCTTGAATTCGCGCACCGTGAAGGCACACATCAGCTCGGGCCGGGCAAGTCCTCATTCGCGCTCGCCCAACATTCCTCCACCGAATTACACTCCGAACCTCCATCCGTCCATCGCTCCTGCAGTCAAAGCCACGGCATCCTCCGAACTTTCTTCGAGCATCCCAGCCAAGCGCCAAGGATCCATGCCGTCGTTAGGAAGTTTTCTGAAAAAGAAGAAGGCCAAGGACTCACACGGTTCGAACGAGATCAGCACACCCACCTCGCCCGTCGTCGAACGAGGCGGCACGCCGCTCTCGCCTACCGTCACCCAGAGTAGCACATTCAGCAGTACTCACGAGTTACAGTCGGCAGACTCGCCACAACAAACATCGACCGGTGCCAGTCCTGCTGCCCCTCCGAGTACGGTCACCGCTGCCAACACACCTTCTGCACCTTCTGACGAGAAGGACAAGATGGCCACTCAGCCACACATACAAAACCTACTCAATCAGCCTGCACACGGGACATATCAACATGGCGTGGATACTTCGCAAGGTAACGTTGGCGGCGTGCCCACCTTGCAGAACCTGGCGACGGGACCTCTCCAAAATCCCAAGCGAGAGACAAAAGGGAAATACACTCTGGCCGATTTCACCATATCACGGACTCTAGGAACTGGTTCCTTTGGCCGTGTTCATCTCGTTCAGAGCAAGCACAATCAACGCTTCTACGCCGTCAAGGTTTTGAAGAAGCAACAAGTCGTGAAGATGAAGCAAGTTGAGCATACCAACGACGAGCGCAAGATGCTGCAACGATGTCGCTTTCCCTTTCTCATCACGTTATGGGGTACATGGCAAGACTCCAAGAACTTGTACATGGTCATGGATTTCATCGAAGGAGGCGAGCTCTTCAGCCTACTACGGAAGTCTCAACGGTTCCCGAATCCCGTCGCCAAATTCTACGCTGCCGAAGTCACCCTCGCCCTCGACTATCTCCACTCCATGAACATCATCTACCGCGATTTGAAACCCGAGAACCTACTCCTCGACCGTCATGGACACATTAAGATTACAGATTTTGGTTTTGCAAAGGAGGTGCCGGACATCACCTGGACACTGTGCGGTACCCCAGATTATCTCGCGCCTGAGGTCGTGGCGAGTAAAGGATACAACAAGAGTGTAGATTGGTGAGTACTTTCCTTGCACGAGGGGAACAGGATTTTTCTCTCCTCGATCAGCGTCATTTCTCTCGCATTCAACACTCCACTAACATCTTTTTTCGAAATTTCGTCTAGGTGGTCCCTCGGCATCCTGATCTTCGAAATGCTCGCTGGCTTCACGCCCTTCTGGGACGCCGGCAGCCCGCTAAAAATCTACGAAAACATCCTCAAGGGCCGCGTCAAATACCCTCCCTACATCCATCCGGACGCCCAGGATCTCCTCTCCAAACTCATCACCGCCGATCTCACTCATCGCCTTGGAAACCTGGTCGGCGGCTCTCGAGACGTCATGCAGCACCCGTGGTTCGCCGAAGTTACCTGGGAACGACTGCTCAAGAAGGATATCGATGCGCCGTACGTTCCACCGGTTCGCGGCGGCGTGGGTGATGCCAGTCTGTTCGATAAGTACCCTGAGGAGACGGAAGCTTATGGGCAAAGTGGAGAGGATGCGTAAGTTTTTTCCCTTTTTCCTATCCTCCCCTTGAACTTCTGACACTTCTTTTTTCCAATGATGAGGTTTGACAACTCCGATATACTGACATTTTTCCCTTTTTCCTGCAGACATGGCCATCTCTTCCCGGACTTTTGAAATGAAACCCCGTTACTATAGAACAGTGGAGAGGAAGAAGAAGAAGAAGAATCTTGGATCTGCTCGAGAGAGAGGGGGGAATGAGGGAAAGAGGGAAAACGAACTTGCGGGCCAAACCTTTGTTTCTTCTTTCTCTCTCACATCGTTGGATCATCGCCTGTTGGATTCTGCCTCTCTGGAATGATGATGACGATGGAAAAAGAAACAAAAAAGGAAAATGCCCGTCGCATGTAATAACGAAGAGACGGCGCGCGCGTTGTGGTCCGCGCGATGGGGGCGTGGACGAAAACCGTAGGAGAGGGACCAAGAGAATAAGAGAGGGGGAAACAACGTCGGGCAGCATGGGAATTTGGGACCGGGTTTTAGATTTCCCTCGAGCCGACAATGTGACGGGCTGTGAACTCAAGCAGATTATAGCCTTCCTTCTTCCCGAGAATAGAGAGGTGATGCCTACCAGCCTGCCTGCCTGCCTACCTTCCGACCGAGGTGCCGCGCCATGCTTTTTTCCCTATCACGAAAAATTATATACATCCATGTCTCTCTCATCGCCTAACCACCTTCTATCTGATCATCATCCGCCCATTCTCCACCAGATATTTCACCTTCGATCTATTTATACATTCGTCGTATCTATTATTGTTATTAACAATAAGATTACGACTTTGTCTCTTAATATTAATTTTCTCTCTAGGAAGGGAAAAAGAGAGTAACGATAAGAAAAGTAAGGCGTAGTCCGTCTTATCTTGTCCGTTAGCCGGCGATTTTGATTACGGTTATAATTATAATCGTAATTATTATAATATATATATATATGCCGTATGTTTATATTATACTATAAGTCGCGGACGATACCGGAGAACTTAATTCAGGATAGGTTAGGACGGGACAGGGTAGAGAAGTAGATTATAATAAGACGATAACTTTCATTCAAATTTCATATGCATTTCGGAGGTCCGCCGGTTGTGTACGGTGCCCACTGGACATAACCCTTTTGTCTCCCGTCCAACATTTATCTTTTGGCGTTCGCTCTTCATACTATTTCTTGTCTTCAGAGTTCATAATCTCTCTCTTCAGATATCTTCAGGTCATTCCTTTCAATTTCATGGGAAGAGTTTAGTAAGCTGTGGGCTTGGGAGCCTGCACCTGACCATCGCCAATCTGCGTGACAGGTCGGCCGCCGACAGGGGCTTGAATCTGTCCGTCGCCGATCTGGGTCACGGGACGGCCAGTAGTGGTTGCGGCCTGCACGGAGGTGGTCGCAGCAGTCTTGGGGGCCTGAATCTGTCCATCACCGATCTGTGTGACAGGTCGGCCGCCGACAGGGGCTTGGATTTGCCCGTCGCCAATTTGGGTGACGGGGCGGCCACCAGCAGGGGCTTGGACCTGACCATCACCGATCTGAGTGACGGTACGACCACCGGTAGGAGCGGGAGGGGCCTGAATCTGGCCATCGCCAATTTGAGTCACCGTGCGGCCGGTGGTGGTTGCGACCTTGGCGGAGGTGGTGGCGGCAGCCTTGGGAGAGGTAGAGGGAGTGCAGACGGGAGCGGCAGCGGTGACAGTCACGGTGGTGGTGACGACGCCGGCGACGCCGCTGTTCTTGCTGCTAGGGCTGGGCGAAGTGGTGCCGGTGGAGGTGAAGGTGACGGAGGTACCGATGCTGCCGCTGGGGAGAGGAGCACCGTTGTAGATTGCGCCGTAGGGCTGGGCAGGGTAACTTGCATGTTGGTCAGTATGATTCGTTCACAGCGAGGTTAGACTGGAGGAGCTAACTTACTTTCCGAAGCAGGCGTAGTCAAACTGCGACTCGGCCAACTTGGTCGAGAGGACGTTGGTGAAGGTGGTAAGCTCACACCAACCGTCATCACGGTTACCACACTCTGGGAAGCTGATACCGAGCGGGATGGTACGCTGGTTCAAGATGAAGTGGACATAGCGAGTGGTGTTCCCAGCAGTGTAGATACCGTTGTTGCCGCGACGGTTTCCGCTGAGAGGCTGGGGAGTCTCGATGATTTCCACATCCAGACGCGAGCCAAAGCACTCCATGTGGGAGACGATGTTGGAGCGGTTGCGAAGGATGTAGGTGGACGGGAGGAGAGTTGCGAATTGCTTGAGGCCAAACGCAGTGAGAACGGCGGCTTTAGTTGACACAAAACATTAGCAAATCGTTTTTGATAGACACAGCATGGAATGAGCATACCAATGTTGGTGTCGTGCGAGAAATCGAAGTAGAGCGACTGGTTAAGAGGGAAGGTAGTGGTGTTGTTGTCGAGGGTAAGGTTGACTTGTCCAGCGGGCTTGGTGATCAACTGGTGTTGAAGTCGGGCGTACAGCTCTTGAACGTAACCGATTCCAATAGCACGGCCAGTGGGAGACTGGAACATGTTGTTTCCAGCGAAGGCCAAATCAATGCTGTACTCGTAGCTGTGTAAATGTCAGCATTGCAAAAAGCCTCATCAGAGATGATATCTGTGCTTACCCTTCCCATTCAGAGTACGTGAAGAGCTTGCAGAAGGCGGAGTAACCAAGAGCAACCTCCTCGTAGGCACAGAGTGATTGAGCGTTGTAGACGTCACTAATTTCATCAGTCAGTGATTCTGAGGCATGTTTTTGTTTGTGAACACTCCCTACCCGATGGTCCAGTTGAAGGATCCGCTGATGGCGTTCAATCGCTTCTGAGCATCAACGAGGTAGATGTTCTCCCACACGCGGGAAGCGTTGTTACCAGCTTGGTTGACGGCGGTGTTGGAGTTGGGGCAATTTCCGTATCCAGCCAATGAGTTGTTGTAGGTAGCACCGTCCACCTCGTAGCTTACAACCTGCAACAGTACTCGTCAGCACGAACTGCACGATTGAGGAATTCTTTTTGGCATGAACTTACGAGAGTGGCATTCTTGGGCCACATCAAGCCAAAAAAACCTGCCATGAAGTATTCCGCAGACTGCAGCATACGGTCCTGAGAGGTAGTGCGAGCGACAATCTTGGAGCCATTGTTCTTGTACAAGTGGCCGTATTGGATCTGATGGAGAGTACCGCTGTCGAATAACTCCTGCTTTCCAACGGGGACCAAGATCTCAGCACCGAGCTTGTACGACCAGGTGTTGAGGAAGCTCAAGTCGCCACCGAAGCGACCGCCAGCTTTGGTGAAGTTTGTAATCTTCTGTCCGATGACCTCCGCACCAGCGCCTGAGGTTGGGTAGCGAGAACCGTGACGGGAAAGCATGTGAAGCTGAACGATGGAGGCATTGGTGGGCAGAGAGTACTCGTCAACTCCAAATCCAGATGGGTTTGGGAAGTAGTGGCTGAGCTGGCCGTGAAGCTCGAAAATGTTACCATTGTTGGTGTTGCCAACGATTGGGACTTGGGTCTCTAGAGGCGAGTTGGGGATGTATGTGGTTCCAATGAATGGCGCAGGGTTGGTCTGGGCCAAGAAGCCAGCAGCACCAGTTGGAGTCGGACCTGCATTACATTAGTATGGGCATAATAGAACTTATGCGTATCACTCTTCGCTTACCAGGGAAGAGCTCTGGCACAGTGACGAAGTAGTCAGGAACACCAGACGGACTGCTTGCGGCCTGACGTTCGACAACAACAGCGTCAACGGCCACGGCCACGAAGGCCCACACAGCACTGCGGTACAGCATGACGCAGAATGAAGCTCCGGTGATGATTGTGAGAGCTACACGGGCAAAAGAGGCGATCTGATATAGAGATCTTCTAGACGAAGACACACGAACGGGCGAGGGCGATAATATGTAGTCAAGCTTCAACAGCTTGGCCTGCTCTGGCTGGAGTAGGGTCTGTTCTCGCGCAACATCGTCATCAAGGCCGCGTTGGGGCTTCATGGGTAAGGCAACGATCGTCATTGGCGTGAACGGCGTGTCCGGCGTCGGCAGCCAACACGAGCTAGATTGACAGATCCCTCGTGGGAAAAGGACACCAGCACAATGAATGTAGCGTTACATTCAGTGGCAGCGATGGGCGAGCTTTCCTTCTCCTCGGCCTCTCACCCACTGTGGAGGAGGCCGACCGGCAGAGCTCAACGACAATATTGACAAAGCTCCGGTTGCCCCGGCAGGGCGAGCGAAATAAGGCGAATCAGGGCTTATGAGGCGTTCAGCTAGAAGAGACTGCTTTAGGACAAGCTTTTGCTGTGCCTCACGATAAGCTTCGAGGCTGATTCAGCCTAGTCCTGAAATGGAGTCGATTCTTTCGGGGCAGACGAGCTCGGGGGAGCTTCACGCCGATGAATCGGTGACGTTCAAATATCTCACGGGAGACCCGAACGACTCAGCGGACAGGTTGCTTGCACGTGTTGTCGTCTACAGCGGAGCGGGGCGAGCGGTTGCGGCTCCGGCGGCAGAGGACAGTGATGGACAAATGAAGCCCGAGACCCTTTCCTTCGACCTCACCCATGCATCTCGAAATGATTTGCGGCGTTCGTCGTCGTCATCACCAACAATGACGTGGGGTGCGCGAGAGAAAAAGAACGAAATCCGTCCCTCTGGCTGTTGCTTTTCGACGCGCGGATCGAACCCTCTGGACCTCTTGCAGGCTCCACGTGTTGGCCATGAGCCAGAAGGGCTACCTTCCATGCGAGCTTTTCGACGTTCGTTGGGACCGTCGACGCGTGTACATTGCGACACGAAGATGGACTCGACAAATAAACGTTTCCGATGGATGAAGAAAGTTCTGGTATTATCTATGATATGTCCTTGGTGCAGATATTTTCAAGTATGTGCCAGCGCAGCATCATCGACGGCAAATCAGAACAGTGAGCTTCAGCAGTAGTCGATATTGTAGTTGTTCCTTCTGTCTTTACGTTTACAGGATCGCGAGAATTCTCATAGACCCATCACTGGTTGCCGACGACCTCCCCGGCTGTGATTGAACATCGCAAGCTCATTTGTAAAAATTGAACGGATCTTCATCGGCATACGAGTCTTGCTTCAAATGGCTCGATCACTACCTTAATGACGCCATCTCAGATGCCGACCCATTTTCGATATTTACTAACATCAGAAAGACAAATTGTCCCACCACAAGTCTCGAACGCCGCAATGGCAACATCCCAAGCGCCGAGAAGTTGATCCTCCGGAATAACCATTTCATCGACGACGATTTTCTGAGCGGCACGGGCAAACTTATCAACCTGACCCCGACCTTCCCTCAGCCCGCTCTGCATGGTGCGGCTCAGATCGCCCACGTACAGGACGGCCGTTTCGAATGCCGGTTTGTGGTGCACGATGTTATCCAGGAGCGACCTGATGAGATAGTCATGGAATTCGGACTCGAACACGAGCTTCTCCGAGTCCTCACGCGACAAGGTCGGCGACGCGAGAATCTTGGCGATGGTCGCGTTCGTGTCGCGGTTGATTCGGCGTTGAAGCGAGCCGATATGGAGGACTTGGGCGACAGTGAAGGCGGAGTTTGCTTGAAGGTTGTTAATGGAGTCATTTGCTGCGATCATATCCGCCGTGACAATGTTCATGCGTTCGAGAATGGTGTAGAGGGCCGAACGGTCGCTATCTGCTCGTGCGACCGCGCCTACGAAGAGGAGCGTTGATATAATCGACCACCGCATCGTGGGCGACCTGTAACACTGTGGCTGGATGTGTGCGATTGTGGCCTTCAGCCGGAGTGATTCATACACAATGCTGAATCTATTCGCGGGTATTGACTCAAAGATGTTCCACTTATGCTCCAGCCCATTCCTGGACGACGAGTTGTTACATGATCATATACGTCCCGAGAAAAGCACAAGTATTGAAGCATCGAAAGTCTCCTTTCACGCCTGTGCTGTGCTCTGTCGGTATCTATCCAGAAGGCAGAGGTCATCATTCGCCGGCTTTGCCTCCGTGCCTCAATAATGTTACCCCGTTCGGGCGCGGGATACGTTGGTCGGACATTCGATGATTCATCTGCCTTTTTACTTTTTGCCCCGATAGTCTATATCTGTCGATGCCACTAAATCGATGATGTGAGAAGACTGGAACCTAGTATAGCAGACACTGCCCCATAACCGATACATCAAAGCTTGCAGCCCTGAGGTGTGAAGCAAGTATCAAGCAATTAATATCACAGAAAGCGACGCGCCAGTAAACCAGCGTTCGATTTTCGAATGAAAGTATGACTTCTTTCCATCACAGTCTTCAATAGATCACACATAGCCTACATGCTCGTGCAACGGGTACATATCATGCTTATCTATTAGCAGATCACGAGATCTATCAGGCTGTGAAGTCGACTGATTCACTCGGTCATGGGCCCTGGATTTTGCATGGGGACCGCGACCCAGACCTGTGAGAACAGCAGCACATCACGAAGCACGAGTGCCCGACGCCTTGGCTTCATTCCCGGGGCTTGGTCGACGAGTTCTCTTTAAGTTATCAGAAGCTATGGCACAAGGCTTCCATCAGAGATTACGTGTCCAACCGCTCGTTCGGCTGCAGATTCCTCCACCTCAACCGATAGACGCAGTAATCCAGTTGCGACAAGTGATTGTGTGCATGCGACCGTCTCCCTTCGATGTTTCCCGGACGGGTCCATTGAAGCACCTCATGCCCGCTATCATCTTCAAGTGACCAATCGCCGATACTTTTGTGGGTCTGCTTCAAGCGATCAATGATAGCTCTCAAGCGGTTCACCTTTTCTCTCGAACTGCGCAACGTTTCAAGATCGAGGGTGAAGAGCTGGACACTTTTCAAAGTCCGCGTTTCAAGAAAACGACGGATCCAAGCCTCATCCTCGAAAAATGGCCCGTCTCCCTCCCAACCCCACCAGTCCGTGTTCTTGATGGTGATTTTGACTTCAGGGGGCCATGCGAGGCGTCTGTTCGCCTCGCCTCTCCTCCCACGGGGCATGATCTCCCTCCACATATTGCCCTCTAGCCAGAACATCTGCGCGAAGATATGGATGCGCTTAAGATTGGAGTGGTTTTCGATGCTCAATCCGCGCATGAAGTCCAGGAAACGCTGTTCTTCGTAGCGCGGACGCGGACCTCCGTTGGTCCATGCTGGTCTAATCTCATCCGTGCCGAACCAGAAAGTAGGTTCCGCGAGTTGCATGGGAAGCTGGTGTGCTTCAATCCATGCTCGCCGGCAGATGTAGAGTAAGCTTGTACAGGTCCTCTTGCGCGCGTGGTGCCCGGGACGATACCAAAATTCCGTATGTCGATAGGGAGTCCCCGGGTCGTCGGAAGGCGTGCATGCTAATTCAAAAATATCATGTCGGATTTCCCGAGGCAGTTTGGCGAAGAACAAAGACTGTTCTTGGAGGTGACAATTCTCCAGCACCTCGGGCGAATACTCTACAGGTAAGCTAAGCATGACTGTCGAGCCGGATTTTTGGGGGCCTCTTCAATCGTCGATATTTTCGGTATCGACGGGAGGTTCAAGGCAAGACGGGATGGACAGCCTAGAAATATGCTTACTATGATCATCTGGCAGCGAGGGGATGTCCTTGTAGCGTGACTCACGCGTATAGGCAGCAACCGTCCGAATGGAGAATGTTGCATGTGGCGCAGCAGTGCCAACAGGTAAGAGCAACAAACATAGCAATGTACGTGGCCGGTGCTGTGCATCACGGAAGTCGTATTCGAAGTTTGATATAATACATGACATTTCAATTCGTTATCTCTCTGTGGGGAGCTGTCTCTAATCTTCTGGAGAGGCTACTAAAATAGTAATCGCCTTGCGTTCTCCCCAAGTAATTCCATCGCCACGCTGAAAAACAATACCCAAGGGAGGTAAACCAAGTAAGATAACAAGCAACATTTGAAAAAGGATAAAGAGAAAAAAAGAGAAAAATAATCATCGTCCTGGATGATGTTACAGCAATCGCGACTTCACCACACGCTGAAAACGGTGAGGTGTCTATTGTCGCCAAGGCCGTCTCACTGTGCCTCCTGTACTACTTCCTGCAGCCGCCGCGCTGACAGCGAGGATGGCATCGCGCATGCTGCCTCGCCTTCGCTGCCTCTCCTCTTTACCCGACGACTTGTCTTCTTTATTCGTAAGTCGATCGTCTTTGAGGGGACTTCCGACAGCGGATTCATTGGGGAGATTATTCGAAAGACTCGGGGGCGAAGTGACGGTCGGCGTGGACGGGGCGTCCTCGTGTTGGGGTGTGGTTGGGAGAACTGAAGTCGTGCTCATCACGGGCGAGGAAGTTGTCGAGGAGGCGGAGAAGGCGGCGGAGAGGTCGAAGGGGAGTTTGTGGCTGTTGCTGCGGCGGAAGAGGGATTTGCGGGGATGGTGCTGTTGGAGGTGAGCTGGGGGCGCGGTGTCTTTGAAGGTGACGGATGGGGTATCCTTGGCCGGCAGAGGTGGCGATGCGAGTGCGGTTGTCAGAGGAGGGAGGCTCGGGAGGTCTTTGGTAGTCGTATTCAGGGTGGAGCCGCTTGTGCTGACGTTGAGTTCTTTAGTAGACGCGTCGGACACTCGCACACCGCCTGCATCGCGGTTCGAGGACGAGGAAGTTCGTGGAGCAGCAGCGGGGAAGGTGAAGTGGTTGTCGGTGGTGGATGATAAATCGGTAGTTGTTGTTCGGGTTCGGGATTGCACAGATGGACGACGACCACGGGCACTTGGTGGGCGGGGCGTGGTGGTGCCTCCGACTCGAGGTGTGTTGTTGATGCCGTGCAAATGATGGTGATGATGTTGATCTCCCTGGCTCGTCCTCGGCCGTTTCGGTGGGTCGTAGTGGTAGGCTGACGAGGGCGTCGATGTCAATGTGGGGAGCGGAGATTTCTCCCATTCATATCGGCTGTTTGTCGGGGTTCCAGAGCTTTGATAGGCGTGGAAAGCATCCCGGTCACCGCTCTGAGTGTTACTCAGGCGGCGGAAGAGGTTTTGGGTCTTCTGCGAAAGAGCTCGCACTGGTGAATGGGCGATCCGCATACGACTGGACCCTCCGGTTGAGGAAATCAGCGGTCCAGTACTAGGTGACACGACACTATTCGATCTGGGAAGAGGAGTGCGGCGGGGAAATTCCGGTGACACTGGTCGTTGGTCGAGAGGATTCGTGGTTGCCGCGATTGTGGGTGAGATGACGCTGCTAGTGGTAGCTTGAACGATAGTACGCGTACCCGACGAGCCGGAGTGAGTTGAGTGAGGACTGGTCACACTCTCAAAGGATGAACTCGGATTGGCAGCCGCCATCTTGCTTAAAGATCCCACAAAGATTGGGCTGGATTCATTGCGTGGAAGGCGTGGTCTCAGATTGTGGGTCTTGATCTCAGCACTTGATCGGCGACGATGTGGAGGCGATCTGTAAAGCTCGGTCGGTGAGATTGCATGCGTGACACGTGGTGGTGATTTTGCAACATTTATCAGCGGCCGTGGTGTGCTTGAAAGAAATGGTTGGCCACTGGTAAAGGCGTCTCCATCCGGGCTGGTCTCGTTCATCTCCTTCAGCATTGCCAGATCGCTTACATGATCCTCTCCATCTGAGCTACTCTCCCGACGGTTGACAAGTCCGCTGCTGCGATATTGCAAATTGCTGTCAAAAGCTGTGCTCAACTCTACAGAAGATCGCATTTGGCGGGGCGCGGTGCGGATATCAGGTTCCAGTGCAGTGTACATTTTGACAGGGGCGGGGGTCGTGTCAAGAAGGCTTCGGTCCTCTCCGTTGATGCTGGAGCGCGATGCACGTAGCATTCGCGTGCTGACACTGTCTGGAGTTGGCGGGAGAAGCGGCTCGCCAAATATTGGTCCTGCAAAACTATTCGGTCTAGCCTGCGGGCCTCTCGGTCGCTGCTTATCAGTTCGAGGGCGGCGTTGTGGAAAGGGCGACATGTCTTTAGAAACATCCATTGACTGCAATGCATCATTGAGCATCTTCAAGGGACTTGATTCAGAGGATGAGGCGTGCTTAGGCGGCAAAGGAGCAACCTCCTGGTCGTCGACCACAGGATCAGCCAACGGCGCAGAGATGGTGTTTGACTTAGAGGGCGTGCTCTCGGCAGCATCGCGTTCGGAGATCCATTGGCTAACTCGCTTCATGCTGTCTTGTCGAAGATGTGATCGACCACCGACTGGCGAGGTGGGAGTGTCATCACCAGCTAGCTCCCAGGGGAATTGCTCTGGGCTGACATGTTTCCGCTGGCTGTAAAATGATGTGAAGCTACCTTCGCTGAGCACGCTCAGGCGCGGAGAATTTAAAGCTTCGTCTTCTTCTTCATCCGCGCGGCTTTCCTGTCGAGAGAGGAGTGAGTGAAAGCTCTTCACCGGGTTGAGCTCCCTCGTCGATTCCAGATAGACGCTACGCAGAGCGAAATTGCTGGGCTTCTGATGGCTAAGCGCGAGCGGCTGCCTTCTCGACTTGGCTGGCGTTGCGCCATTCATAAGGTTGTGGAGTCGCTGTGAAGCCGCTGATGCTGCTGGGAGTGAGGGAGATCGCACATTGATGACAGGTGTCCGAGGGATGTGCGATTCCGGCGGTGAGGATGGAGGTATCGTTTCTTGTGCCTCGGTTCCAGCATATCCAGAGTCGGCCTGCGCGGTGGATGGTCGAGTGTTTCCGTTACGATCCTCTAGGTCTGCGACTTTGTCCTCTAAATCGCAGATGATGTCCATGGCCTCCTCGATCGCGCGATCACGCTTCTCCAATTCCTCCACCAATTGCGAGTTAATCTTGAGCAACTCCGTATGCTCTGCAGCCAGCTGTTCCGCAAGAGCACTCTGTTCCCGCATGGCCTCGATCTGCTCCTTCAGCCTTTCCGTCTGCTCACGACGGTGATCCAGTTCCAGTTTCAGGTCAAAGTTCTGTTTGCTCAATTTATCTATGTGAAGATCCATGTCGCGCACACCCATGGCGCGACGTTTACTGCCCCCAGGGCCATTCATGGCATCTGATGCAGATGCACGTCCGTTGAAGTACAACGGCGAACTGGCTGTCGCAGCCAGCCCTGCAGCCTTGCTGCTTTCCTCGGCCTCATGCAGAAAAATGTCATCGTCGCGACCTGACCAAGGACCTATATCGGTGTGACGCGAGCGCTTCGGGCGTGTGATTCGTGAACGTCGCTCGTGGAGCCGGTCCTGAAGATATTGCGACGCAGGTAAAACATCGACGGGCCGGCTAGATCGAGTGTAGTTGTGTGGCCGGTCGCGGTCGCCGGCGCAGGAAGACATGGTCTCGGATGAGTCCGACCAGACCGGGCCTGCGAACCGGAAAGGACTGTGGTGAAATGCGCGTCGGGGTTATTTGTTATTGCATTCCAAGTTGGTTCCTGTGAGCGATCACATGAGGATGATGCGCGCGAGATGACGGCGAAGTCGGTGATGATATTGCGACGACGGCGGTGTGTGCGAAATGTGACGATGGCAGTGTGATGTGCGCAGGTTTGGTAGGAGAAGTGACGGTCGCGCGCCTGGCCGTGTGTTGGTGCGACGGTGATTCTTGGTCGAAGTGCGAGTGTGGATGATTGGATGCGTGCCAGATTTCGAGGCGACGGGAAATCGTCTTGTTTTGGGTGAGAGGGTGTGTTGTGTGTGTGTGTTTATTCAGCGGGTGTGGATGGGCGCTGCGACGTGTGGATTTCGCTTGTGGACAATAGCGTTTCCCAGGGACGTTTCAAATGTCCTTTAGAACCTGTCAGGCTTCTTTCCCCACAAACTCTACTCGGCCGACCCAACAATCACTAATAATCACAAATCCCTCCCAGCACGGGGCAGTGATGATTGCCAAGGTGGATTTTGTCTCAGCTTTTCGATTGTGCGAAACGAGCAATGTGCATGGCGCGACTGATCGGCGCGCGATGTGTGCACAGAAGCAGTGGACAGACTAGACAAGGAAGAATCTTTTGGAGGAAGGAAGAAAATGGCTGGATTGCGCAGTGATGCAGGCAACGCGCACATATCACGTCGATTCGCGCATTGCTTCCGGGACGAGACGTGCAGAAGTGCATGCATGGAAATACATATGTAGGTGATCACATCCGCGGACACATGCGACAGGGACAACACGGTACACGCTGTATGTATTATTACACTCGCCTATCAGTCATTCTTGCTGCTTTGTTTTCTCGGGCGTATGAGCGGTCAGGGGCTGCGATCACCAAGCACAGGAGGCAAATTATATTGGATCGGCCTGGAGACACTGTAGTCCAAGCAGGTGGCACTCCTCGGCAAATGTGACGAAACGGACAGGAGGCGCTGGATGAGGAATAGTGCGTGCGGGCAGACACCAGAAAGGAATGGCGATCGGGAAGCTCTTCAAGGAAGGACCCGTCCGCATTCTACATACAGTCTGTCCCACGATGATTTTCCGGTTGAGATCATATCCGCTGTCATTCGCGTCAAACGTGGTCCATATTGGAATTTTGAAAGAATCTCCGAGGATGACCTCGAGCGGTTAGAAAAGATCTGGTACAGAAGAAGATCGGTCGGGCGTCCATAGCATAGCGGCCGTTTGTCACCAGCATAGAGGATTCTTGCCGGAGAGGATGTCCGTCGTCTCCTGATTAACAACACATCCTCCAATGCGAAATTGAGATTCATCCATGGATCAACTTGACTGGCTTGCGAGTGAACAGATAAGAGACGTGAATCTCAGACGGCCCCGTCCGACGTTGTCTAGTGTGCAGGATGCAGAGAGGTCAGTGTTGCGAATAAATGAAATGACGATGGACATTTGTGCGAGCGTCGCACCAAGTGGTCAGAGTGGACGATGTCATACAGTAGGAAATGCAGGTTGTAGTCCGCGGTCGAGGTTGTCCACGAGGTGATCCATGGCTCCAGGCAGTCTCCTTCACCGTTGGGCAGCGTTTCCCCGTTCTCTCTCCTGTCGTTGGTCCCGTTTCGTTGTCTGGCACTACCGGCAGCCTTTCTTTATCAGGACTAACTCCAACGCCTCATGCCATGGACCTGGGCCATCGCCCATCGGCCCGGCCAAACCTTGTTCTTTTCCATTCGGTGCTCCCTTTCCGAACACACACACACACTTGTTACACTGGCCCACACATATAATGGACATTGGACAAAAGTCGAGTTTCATCAGGCTGCACCTCCCACCATGCTACAGTATTCAACTCAGATAGCAATTGATTGCATATGAAGTTCCATAGATAGGGTTTTCATATGACCTTCTGTACAAGTCATCGAAGACGGTGAACAAGTGCGGACAGCGAAGCACTGAATGTCCGGGAGGCTACTCATGCATATGCAGGCATTAGCTTAGCCCTCGACCGTCAATTCATACCGTACGCGAGACAAAAGATGAGACATGGCGCGCCGGCGATGGTCACAGATTGATGGAAGGGCATCTAGATCGGCATCTCTCACAATCATGGTATCCGAAAATTTATGATTTCAATATATTTACCGTTTTCACCATAGCGCAATCGAATCAATATCTATCTCGCCATGCATGCGTCCGCTCGAGCAGGATCGTGGTTTTCTTCTCCGTCATCAGTACGAGGCCCCCTGCAGGATGCATGACGTGAGTGCGCAACAACACCATCTCGACACTACTGCAGCGTCGAAAGCGACCCCGTATGCAAGTCACCCGTTACGCCTCAGCGAAGCATCGCTTGAAAACGAAGATATGCCTCTAGCTTCAGGAGAAGAAACAGGAATGGAAGACAAAGCATCGTGGAAATCCTTCTGCTGTAATTATCTTCGAAATTTGACGCGAATGAATTAATTTATTCCAAACGCAATCGCGTCGAAAAAGGAGTCATCGCGACGAATGAGAAGCTGGCATGGGTAACCGTTTTCCTCTCTTTTTGCAGGATCCGAACGGCGACATGGCCCTCTCCTTTTTTTCTCCCTCTTCGATGAAAATGGCGCGACAATGACGAATCGTCTGTCAGATTGCGAATGCACGACATCGGCGTCGTCGCACGAAGACCTTGCCGAAGGATTCCCACGAAACGGACTGTCTGACAAACCGTACCCAAAGCAACCTCATCTGCCGGGACCAATAAGATCGCCTTTTACATGCCAATTTTCCTTCGGGATTGCCGGATGAGTTCAGCTCGTGCAGACGGTCTCATCGACTGGGTCAAGACGAGGCGACTTCACTTCATCGGCTTGAACAATCGCAATGTAGCCTGTAATCAGGCGACGGTACAGATTTGCTTGTCAAATCGAAGGTGCGACATCGGCGTCTACGCAAAGGAATTCGGACAATATTGTCTGTCTTCTCGTCTTTTAGTAATGCTCATGGGTTGCAGAGAAGTAAAGAAGTTTTCAGCGAATGCAGATCTCTAACCCTGGAGATTGTCCGCCCAGCTAGATATCACGCACGAGATATGCCGAAGAAAAGGTTCACGCGCAACGATCCGTGCCGAGACTCGCTCATATTTGCTTTGCAGGCATCAAAGTAATGGTCAACACGCGCCGAACAGACAGGTCTGCTACCGCTGTCGAGGAAAGCCCACTCGCGTATCATGCAGATCACTCCCTATCCATCTCATCCACCTCAAGCTGAAGCCTCGAAATCACCGCCATACACACTTCGACCCCGCCAACAGCTTTGACGTAACCCGTCTCGGGTTCTTTTCACGCGCTCTAAAGAGTGTCGGAGCGAGCCGATATGGCAGCAGATCGCATTCGCTCGGTTATCCGTTTGGCCAGACGGTGGATTGCCGGGATCATTTGAGAGCATAGTATTCTGCTCGGTCACAGGCCGATTGGGGCGGTCTTTCAACAATGCCTACTCCCTTCTCGCGTGTCTCGTTTGCTGCATGATCGATTGTTCATGTCGTCTACATCTGGTGCTGAGCAAGAGAGGCAAGTCGTATAGTGCTGACGACATTTGTAGCTGAGGTGGAAGTACGTCGGAGGTCGTAAGGCGCCAACTAGGCATTTGAAGCTTCAGATTTACGAGAACTTCTACAAGCAATCTGGGTTCTAGTAGCATCTTCGGCAATCTATAAGATTATGAAAACATCGAGTTTGATAGAGTACCAGACATTCCGAACGAGAGGCAACAGCGACTATCTATGCAAAACGATTATAGTGTTGGATCAGTATGCCAGCGGATATACACCTTAGGGTTGTGAGCGACCTCATTAGCAAGCTGCCGAGACGACTCATAAAAGGCTCCCGGTGATATGTCAGTTAGGCCAATTATGCGGCGGCGACACTTGCTGGAGAAATTGTATTGGACGGAGGCTACGATGACATCTTGTCGGGACACAGGATATTGAATCAGGTCACCGCATTCTAGGCTTGTAACGTACGTTATTCGTAGGTTGGCGCCCTCGTCAGCAACCACGACACTGGGAGAATGCACATTTCTGAGGATAATTCTAGACACAGAGAATCATCTGGCACTGAAGATTTGCTGCCAATGTTGCTGCCGCAGCTCGGCGAACATGCCGCGACTTACAGTGATATGTAGCAGGTGAAGTTTGACTAGGGTGCGAAGTGAGATGTCCAGTAAGTCAGGAACGCGGTATTTTTAGTGTTTGACTCCGCATAGTCAGACAGCCGCAATAACCAAAAGCATTCCGTGCGCGGGCCGAATGACGTGCCATTACGTTAATCAAATTCGCCGCCGCGACAAAGAAACCCGCGCAAAATGTCGCGACTAACGACAGCACGCGGTCCAACCAATGCGATGCCCAGTCTAATTCTCGAGCTTGTTCCTGTCCTCGTTTAATGCATAACTCAGCATCTACGTGATACCACGAGGGTCTTTAATGCAAGACTTTTCCTGTAGGTTGTCATTTCTTAGCCGAATCGGGAAGTTTGTAACATCACGCGGGCGCACATCGTCATCGCGTGTCATCAATACAGACGCTTAACAAGGAATCTGACAAACAGGAAAATTCCTGCAGCAAGACCTGTGTGGAGCCAGCCTCAAGCCTACAAGGAGCGGTGAAGAGACGAAGAACTCCTCTCACCATTGTTGTCCACGCGGGAGATCTCTGACATCGACACATCTGCTCAATTCTCAAGATGCCAACGAGCAACGGTACGCCGACGCCGGCACGGCCATGTTTCGCCAAACCGACCGTGAATGCCGTCTCCGATGAACGCGGTCCGCTCCTTGCTCACTACACACGATTCTCACATCAACAACAAAACGACGCACTCGAACAGCAATGCGAGCTCACCTCGGAATCCGACCTTTCATGGACGAAGCGGACGAAATGTTACCTTTCCGAAGACATCGACACGAAACGGACAGATCTGGTTCTCATCTTCTGCTTTCTTCTGACCGGGATGATGGATGCCGGAGCATATAATGCATATTCCGTATTTGTATCGATGGTGGTACGTCCCCGTCCCGTCCTCCATCCTCCTCTGTTTCATGCATCCCATCATAATTTCCCCTCTCACAAGACTAATCAAAATCTCAAACCAACAGACAGGAAACACCATCTTCGTCGCCCTCGGCATCTCCAACCTCCCCGTCGACACTCCCAACTACGCCTGGACCAAATCCATAACATCCATCCTCGCCTTCATCGTGGGAACACTCCTCTTCAGCACATTCCACCGAACATTCGGCGCGCGAAAACGCTGGCCCTTGATCCTGACCTTCGTCATCCAAGCGATTCTAGTCTTCATCTCCGCAAGTCTAATCGCAGGCCGGTCCAGCAGCGAATCGCCCGCCAAACCCCCCACCGTGGCAAACAGGATCTTCCCGTCGGATCCAGGTTTCCCCTGGGCGGATCTGATCCCCATCGCGTTGCTCAGCCTCCAGGCCAGCGCGAAAATCCTCTCGAGTCGCTGGCTGGAGAGTCCACATCTCACCACCTGCGTGTTGACCGTGTTGTATAGCGACTTATTCGCCGATCCTGCTTTGTTCTCTGCGGGATTGATGGGGAATGGGAAGAGGAATCAGAGAGTCAGCGGGGCGGTGGTTTATTTCGTGGGAGCGGCGCTGGGAGGAGCGTTGGCGAAGAGTTCGGTGGGGTTCGAAGGCGCGTTGTGGATTTCCGGCGCGTGTAATTTGGGGATTGCGGGTGCGTGGGCGATGTGGTCGAGGGAGGAGGGGAAGGGTGACGAAGAGGACTGAGAGCATGTCCGGAATCTAAGAGCGGATCTTGCGCTGGATATGAATGTAACATCAGAATCTGCATGACGAGAGAAAGACAGAATCGTCGGCGGGGACCTTTTGGCTTGATAATGACAGACGAGAGAAACAGCAAGGGTATCTACGCCTAAATAATACAAAGGATGTACCACCACCAACGGCAACAGCAAACAAACAGCCACAGCGGATTGCGCGCAGGCTTTCGACAGCGGCCATTGCCGAATTGACAGCCAATTATTCACCGGGTAGAGGGAGGATTCAGCTTTACTCGCCTCCCTTCGTCCTAGAAGGCGTAATATCGCGGCTCGCTCCCCCACCACCACTCAAAGAACCCTTCTTCATCAGACTGGCAAAATACTCCTCAAGTTTATCAACCGGCAAATCCTTCACACTACTGACCGGTCCCGCGCCGGCACCCGCACCCGCTGAGGGCGGACCCTGCTCGAGTTTCGGGGTCGCCAGGGGACCCCGCGGCTTAGGGGTCGTCACGCGACTGCCGGGACTCAATGGAGCCGAGTCGTGGAAGCTGGTGCTTGAGAGATTGAGAGGTGGTCGTTTGAGACGTTCAATGGCGCGGCCGGCGTCATAGCTTACCCCACCGACGTTGAAACTCACATCGCCGAGGTCGTCGAGTGCGCCGGATTGCTCGCCTGAGGGCATGCCGATTGCACCGCGGCCGGAGAAGCGGGTGGTGGAGGTGGTGTTGTCGGCGTGGTTGTTGCGCTCGGTATCTTGGGCTTCGAGTTCTTGGAGATGGGTCCGCATTTCGGCGAGGAAGGATTGGGTGGGTTTTGTGGTGGTTTCGATTGGAGGAGATCCAGAAGGGACGACTTTGTGGGCTTGTGGGTTGAGGACTTTACGTTCGTATTGTTGGATTGTGGAGGGGGTTTGTTTTGAGGGGGATAGTGGTGGTGACGAGGAGAATGTGTCTTGTACGGGAGAGGAAGCATATACTTCTTCGACTGCAGAAGTGGAGATTGAGGACTTTTCTTTTGCTTTCGTCTCGTCAGCGGATATGGTCTCGACCCGTGGAGGAGGACGTAGATCATTGATCCAAGAGCTAAGCACAGTTTCGGGTGAGAAAGTCTCGCTCAGAGTTCGAATGAATGCAGTGCTGTCCCAGCCAGCTGGGATCACGATGGCCATGCGATCCATGAATTCGTGTTTCGGGTTTAGGTCGTCTTTTTTCGCGACTGAACTTTCCTGGCTTCCAGGCCGTGCCAGCTTTGGACTCAAGGCAGCCAAATTCAAACCAAGCGATGTGTACACTACTTTTTGTGCTTCTGTCAAGGGACTTCCGGGTAGTTGAGGAGGAGGCGTGGAACTGTTATATACCACGGCACTATAAGGATGCAGTGGGAGGATGGCTGTCCGCAGGCATTGTGAGATGTAGTCGAAATCCTCCTCTTTGTATCCTTCTCGGAAAAGCTCCTCCTGCGATTCTGTGTGCTGGACGACAAGGGTGATGGCCAGCTTTGCTTCTTTGATGATATCGAGAGGCTCATCAACGTAAGAGCTATTCGGAATGAGAGCATCGGCTAGTAACTGGAGCCAATCTCGCAATTGAGTCATGAATTTCCATGGCTCTTTCCAACTTAGGAGTATGCAGACCGCTGGTCGCTGTGCTGTTCGTTTGTCCTCAGTATCCACGACAGGCTCCTGTCCAAGTTCGTTGCTCATCTCAGGCTCCAGCGTTGGCTCATCTTCATCAGTGACCGACAAGAGACGTTGCAGTAGTGGCGCGAATTCTCGATCTGGCGAAGGTATCGTGTGAACCAGGACTCGCGCCGCCTCTTCTGCTTCCGCGCTGAGTACACCTCCACCCTGCGCAGCCGGTGGGGAGAAGAGCGTGACATGCCCATATCCGTAAGCGTATGTGTTGCTCAAGCGGACCTCTCCCCTCGCTCGTGGCTGCTGCTTCCCTCTTTCCTGATTCCTTGATTGCGAGGCTGGAGGAGGTCGTGCAAGGGTCTGGACGAATGTTCGCTGATCTGCGGCAGATGAACCACCACACACAAGCAGTGAGCAATGCTGCATGGCCGATGTCCGACTGCGACGAGCCTGTGCTTCGTGGGTCTGCTTGAGCAGGGAGGTCCATATATCAGTTCGAGCTTCCTTTTTGTTTCGTTTGACGGGCGCCGCATTTCGTTCTGGGAAGGTCGTTGCCCCAGCAAAGGCTCGCGATGCCAATGCCGCCATTTTGTGACTGTGAGACGTGCTTATTCAGTGACTGCCACCTGATCGGATGGTATTCGTCAATCGCGAAATCTTGGGCTGTGCTTCTTCAGCAACGTCGAAATGGGGGGACGCGGCGACGCGAGTTGATGAACCCTAACGCGTCGTCCACGGGATCTGGAAATAACGACACCTGGGCAGTCATCACCCTTTAACGACGAATTTTGAACCAATCATGCCTTCCAACCTTGAAAGGTTCGCACGAATTCCAATTTATAGTGAACTGAAATCCAGCAAAAACTCCTCTGGCATGGGTTCGTGTTCGCCTTGAGGTGCGATACTTCACGCGAATCAAAGACAATTGAATCCACGTACACTCCATGTCTTCAAGCTACCGGCACCCCTGACTATAATGACGCCCAAAACTGGACATGAACATATTCTGGCTCTTTCCCTGCTCAGGACTATCAACGAGGGCATTTAGTCATTCGCGGGGTCTCGGATCGATTGAGACGAAGTCAGCGTCAGCATCGTCACCGAGAGGCAATTCTAGCAGCTTGGCGACGACGATTCGCAAGCGAAGCCAAGACTTGATGGTCCCAATGTCTATGCAAGACAAGGCGCGGCGAAGGCTCGAATATAGTATCGCGGCAACTCCAATCCTTGAGTCTTGCATTGCTGCGATGATCATAAGCCTTGGTATTGTCAGGATGCGATGCCGTAGTCGACGGTCAAGGTTCGTCTACGTTCTGGTACAGAACCCGCGTATTCAGGAAGAAAGTGCAGGAGGCGTTCATATTTTCTTCGAGTCTATAAAGCAAGACCACCGAGTCGAACAGTAATCGAGATGAAGAGAGGACTCTCATTTCTGAACCACTCGCAATCCTCTACTACAATTCAGTAGATTGTCTTATCCCCATCCTTCCCAACAGTGGTTATCAATCAGAGCGGAATTTGCCATCATGCTTCTCATGTGCCTCTCCGGCTTCGTGGCTTTCACCCTTGTCTGTGCAGCTCCGAGCAGCCCCAAAACTATCCCAACCTTTTTAGGGATCCGTCAAGAAGGATCGTTCAGCACAATCTGGAATGACGACGCATACCCCGAGCCACTGAACTTTGAGGTTTACAACGCGGGTGCGCCGTGTACATTCCAGATCGCATACGAACGTTTCCCCTTCGACCGTGCCTACATTGCCGACTATGTTGCAGAGTACGCCGATGGATCGTCGTAAGTCTAGTGTCCAGATGGGTCATTTGCAACTCTCCTCGAGTTAAGGAAGATATTGAGGAGAGACTCTGATGAGCAACGTGCCTCCATTCTAGAACCTTATTGCGTGCCACATACGGCTCTTTCGCCACAGATGCCCTCGCCAGCAAGGACTTCTTTGGGATACAAGATTCATACCCAGAAAATCGAGCTCCATACGTCGTCTTCTTTCCCGATGCCTGTCAGAACGGCCTCGCGCCGCAGTCATTTCGCGTGAATTTTGCATTGCCTGAAAGTTATTCATATGAGAAGTGAGTGCTTGTCATGTCATGCTAATAAACTGCTTCTTTAATTATACATCGACTAACATCATCATCCGGCAGCAACTGGACCACAGGCTCCCTGCCCATTCTTTCAGACAGTCTGGCTGACGAGGTTACTGGAGTCAAACTGGTCTCCGGTAATACGAGCACAGTGACATGGGAACCGGTCGACGGCGCGACAAACTATGTTATACTCACTGAAAGTCTCTCCGACAGTGAAGTCGGTCCGAGACCCATTGTCATCGCCTATGAGGTATTCGGGGCCAGAGCGAGGATATATTCCACCACGGGCGATGTTTTGCGTGCTGCGGTGCTCGCCAATCGTGGTGGAGATAACGGGCGATTGTCGGGAGGTGCAAAGCAGTTCACTGCATTGAATCGAGTTTTTGAGGTCGGACCTTCGGCTCGGGAGTGCGGCGACGTGTGACGAGTGAATGCGCGGACATCGGTGGGCACCTTACCTTAACTTGTGTTTACTCGATGAAGATGCTTGTCAGCCCGATGGAATGAGAGCCTCCCTATGAACGTTTCTCGAACATAATTCTATCCATGAATTGCATCTTGATACGCGATATCGAGATGCTCGTAACTACCGAAGTGCCACAGGGTGCGACTGCGTGCTCTCCAATGCTTTCGGCAGCTGTGACGGGGTTCATCAATTCCTATGTAAGCATGTTGCGAATGGTGCGAATGTTGTTTCTATTGCATAGCACATTGAGCTGAGCAGTCGCATGAGCCTAGTCGTATAATTGCACTTTCAAGCCGTATTCAGTAAATGCACGATCGTAACGATGCTATCTATGCCGGGCAGAGAAGGCCAACAACTGCTCAAGCAGCCAGCTGAAGTCCGTCATTTCCCCGCCGCCATTCCCTTGGCGACCCGGATCACCGCCAGGGCAATTGGTTACTGTTCAGCTTGGCAAGGCTCGGAAGCCAAGGCTTTTCAGCAGAATGTACAGCGCAGGAACAAGCAACGGCGAAGATTGAGATGCTACCATACCATCATGATGCATTGGCGGACTGACGGGTGGCTTGTGGTGGATCAGGATGGCGCGTCTCTTGGCGGCGATCAGCCGGCGATGATGTGTAGCGAAGCGAGGTTTTGAGAGGCTGCTACATATGGATGGACGGGATATATAGAGCAGATGAGAATTCACGCATTGATGAAAGAAGACAAAGACCTCACCCCTCCGCGATTCGATCACCCACACAAGCATGCATCTCCAAATCCTCTCCCTCATCGCCGCAGCGACGACTCTCGTCTCCGCAGCTCCCACAGCACAAGGAGACATCCCATCATTCCTCGAGTCCCGCGCCGACACATCCTACGGGACGACCTGGAACGACAAATACATCGACAAGCCCCAAGGTTTCCAAATCCGCGTCGCCGGCAGCGCCTGCGACTTCCAGCTCGTCTACGAACGTGATCCATATGATAACCGGCACGATGTCTATTACATAGCGGAGTACGCCGACGGCTCTTCTGTCCAAGTCCGCGGAATCTCAGGAGGACTGGCCCGTGATCGGGTCTGGCAGGTTGAAGGCTATGCCGATGGCCGTGGCCCACAGGTCGTTTTCTTTCCGAGTATCTGCAAGAATGGCGTGGCGCCGCGGACGTTCCGGGCGAATTTCGCGCTGAGGGATGGGTTTACTTATAAAAAGTACGCTTTCTCACCATATGTTGTTCGACTGGTCTTGCTTCTGCCTCGAAAGGGAGATGGATGAGAATACTAACGACCCGATCACAGCCGCTACACAACCGGTTCCTTCGGAATTTCCACCGGCGGTCTTCCCGACCCCGTAAGCAACATCCGCGTCGCTGCCCAAGAGAAGACTAGCACTGTGACCTGGACTCCTGTATCCGGCGCCACCGGCTACGTCGTGCTCATGGAATGGATGGTATACAACAGCGAGGTCGGTGCGCCTCTGCCCGTATATGTAGCGCGTGAGGTCGTGGGCGGAGGTTCGTCGTCGTTCACCTTTTCGAGGAAATTGACGCGTGTGGTGGTCGTTGCTATCTCTGGCGCTGGGGGCACGATTGGCAGTGGCGCGAAGCAGTTCACTGCGCTGAACCGCTTTGGTGATGTTTACCCTTGAGAGGGCTTGGATCGATCGTTGGCGTAGGCGAATTCTCTTTTGGTTACAGATGAAATCATGCGTTGATGAACATCAGCTTCTGCTTGTCATTCGATAGCTGCGGCCTTCGAGTCGATCGAATAAATAGAAAGTGAATTTCAAATGCCCGAAAACATCTTTGCTGTCTTTCGAGCGCTGGTTAGCAGACTCGGGTGTATAGGGCAACCATTATCATCTTCTTGTAGACAAGGATTGCGTTTACGATAGAAGTGATGGTGATAGTCACTGGAAGAGCTGGGACGTTTTAATCGACTATCCGTCATGCTGGAATGCCAAGAACTCCAACATACAGGACAAGGCGCGAGTAATCATGCTACTACAGAGCTTTAAAATAGCTTCCTGACGTTGCTGATCCTCTGGGGCCAAGGTGCCAAGCAAGTCGTGCCAATCATGGACAAGGAATACTATATACGCGGACGATGTTGTTGGGGCAGATACATATATACCAAGTCCTTAATCAGGGACGTGAAAGGTTTCGAAACCGAAAGAGTTAAAAGTCTATTGCAATCCAACGTCCCAGACTCATCACCCTCATAGATCTTCGCTGGAAAATCCTCGACGGTGCCCGCAATTATGCATCTTTCCCTAATCTCCTCCATTCTGGCAGCAACGACACTCGTCCAGGCAGCTCCGGCTGTGGATACTGCGCAGTCCATCGAGGCACGTCAAGCAGATGACTCCTTCGGAACGTCTTGGAATGATCCGTACATCCCCATTCCGCGGAGCTTTGAAGTCCGTGTGGCGGGCGACGCGTGTGCCTTCCAGCTGGTATACGAGCGTTTCCGGGCCGACAATCGCTACGACGTCTCCTATATGGCCGAGTATTCCGATGGATCATCGTAAGTGATTGAAAAAGACGGAGACACGAAGAGGAGGATTCATCCCGTATCCCAAGGGATTGTGGCAGCAAATTTTCCAGATTCAAACCCATCTCTGACATGACATCTCTTTCCTCACAGTCAACAAGTGCGCCCGATATCCGGAAGTCTGCCACGTAACAACAACCTGTTCGTCGATATCATTGAAGATGATGAGCGAGGCCTGGAGATCTCCTTCTTCGACAATGTTTGCAAGAACGGTGTAGCCCCGCGATCCTTCCGGGCCAATTACGCCTTGCGTGAAGGTTTCACATACGAGAAGTAAGTCATCATGATCAAAACTGCTTGTCGGAAGAGCTGGGCTGACGTGGCGGAACAACAGTCGATGGACCACAGGGTCGTTCGGTATTTCTAGTGGGAATCTCGCGGGCGCAGTCGGCAATATTCGCGTGACTAGCGGGAAGTCGAGCACTGTTTCGTGGACACATGTCGCAGGAGTAACAAGCTACATCGTGATCATGGAGTGGCTTGTTGATTCTGAAGTCGGACCATTGCCATTTGTCTACGCACGCCAGGTGGTCGGGCAAGACGCATCGTCTTACACGTACACACGTAGATTCACGCGTGCGACCGTCATCGCGAATACCGGCGGCGATCTTTCGACTGGCACCAAGCGGTTCACGGCGCTTGACCAGGTTGTTGATGTGTATCCTTCCTGAGATGATCTGCATCGAAGACGGTGGAATGGTGGAACTGATGGCATGGTTGCATGGTTGCGTGGTTGCAGCAGCTCAGCTCACGCTTTATCGGGTTGTGCTTAGTCTCGATCGCTACTCTGTCGACTTCTCGAATTCAATCGCGATGACCGGAAGATGATTTATGATGCGGAGAGCTTTGTGATGATGACTCGTGTCTACTCCGCATACTGCTTCCCAAGGTACTTTCGAAAGCCAACATAATGCAATTTCCAAACTACCTCTCCTCCTTCAACCACGACTGGCCTCAGTTCGAACTTTTCCCAACGGGGATCACTTCCTCCGCCAATCGCATAGATGATGTTTTCTCCTTCAAAGACGAGATGGCCTTTCGGTGGCCGTCCTGTCGGGTCATTAGGTAACGATGGAATCGTCTTCTTGACCCGTTTTCTCGTCCCATCGGGAGCGACGGTCCATGTATACAGACTGGGTGTGCCTGATCCGATGCTCTGCCAGTAAGGCGGTTCGTTGCCCATGTGGAATTCTATCGACGATTTGCTTCGGATGTCCGTCAGAATACGGGGAGTGAAAGGAGAAGGCTTTAGGACGGGTCCTGAGAGGCCGCGGGAAGACTGCACGGTCGGATTGGCTGCGTTCAGAGGTTGTGCGAGGAGCTGGTAATACTCCTGACGACTGCCTGTTCCCATTGCGGTGGAAGGTGTCACCGATGGAGCAGCGGATGACATGCCGGATATTGACGGAGGAGGAATGAAAGCGCCTATGGATGGTCTTTGTTGTTGTTGAGATGGAGTTCTTCGGTGTTGACTTGCTTCACGACTCATCTGCGATGCGGCGGTTCGTATGGCAGCGTCTTCACCTGAACCAGGCTGCAGGTCAAATACATGCAGGGTGCCCTTGTCGCTTGTACATGCTAGCCATCGGTTGTCGGGACTAAAGGCAATGCTGTAAATTATAGCCATTTCCATGCCTCGCCGAAACTCTAGGATCTGATCTAGTGTAGAGCATTGATAGACTCGAACTAGGGTACCTTGGACACTTGTTGTCGCCAGCAGAGTACCATCAGGAGAGAGCGCCATGCATCTCAAAGCTGTCTTGTGTGCTCGGATAACACGTTTCGTGCTTGACTCGATCTCTGGCTTCAGTGTGATCAGTTGAACTTGACCAGGACTTTGAGCTGGCAAGACTAGAAGATTCTCATGTAGGCAAGCAAGAGCGAATGTGTTGTTTGTCGTTCCATGCAGAGAATGGGGCCTGTTAGGAGCCGTCATGTCCTTACCCGATTCGATGGCGGGCTCGCTTGCGTGAGCTTTGTTGAATGCATTGCGATCGAGGAGTTGATGCTGAAAGACAATTGTCCTGGTCTCCAAAATGACCGCTAGGAATTTCGCATCAACCCTGAGACCTTTGATTGGTTCGAACAGATTGAAGCGTGTAAGCTCTCGACCGAGCACAAGATCCCAGAAATGAAACGAGTTCGGGCCATCGATATGAGCAGACTTATGACTGGGCACCCATGCAAGATAGCGTGAGTTGTGGAGTGCCACGATCGCAGCACCGTTGTTCAGTGGGACTTTTGGTTGAAACGAGGTCAAGCAGTTATCGATCTGAAAGACACGAACACCATCACTGAGGCCTACAGCGAAAAAGTCTCCCTTGGTGGATGTATCGATGGAGAGCACAGCAGGGTTGACCGAGGATTGTATGGGACGTCGGGCGTTCATCTTGTGCTATTTCGAGCGGGAAAGGAGCCCGATGCGATCTCAACGACGATAATGTGGTCGTAGTAGTTGAACCAGGAGGACCGGGTTCGGATGTGTAGACTACGACCTTGTCATGGTTCAGTTCAATTTGAGATTGCCTCTTATCTTGAACTTGTTGGCATCATGCGGAGAGCTCAGGAGAAACACCCGATCCCGTCGTCGATGGAGTGAGCGATTACGGGAAACAGCCCACTAAGACTATTTCTGCTGTCGTGGACGACCAGGAACTATGTCGCAACGGTGTTGAGTACATATACTTGTTTGGGTCGGTATGCCCATGTTAGTGAGCGACAAGGACATCACCAGGCCGCAATCATCACATGACGTTGGTTTCTGATCATGGGCACCTGGGCAGCGCTGTCTCTTAGGGTTGTCGAGGAGTTCCATCTGAACCGTATAGCTCTCTGTAGTCGCCCGAACGGTTTCTGTGTGGAGCGATTCTTGTGTCGGCCACTCCCGCCCGACCATTTCCGCTTCGAGCATAGTGTGAATCGATCCCTGAGTGAGCGCGCGAGCCCCCTTTGCAACTTCCACCTTTCAGTACAGAGAAGCCAATTTACGCTGCTTGCCCGGCGCTCTCACGCGAAACACTGTGATTCTTTCCGGCGATCCTCCATCCTTCACCATCCACTCGTCAACCTTGTCGTCGCCGCACGCGCCGCTCGACTTCTCTTCTGCAATTTCTGTGAAGAGATATCGCTTGTCAGGAAACGGAAGAGTGAGTACACCGCTACCGTGGGTCGTTGCGCTGGCCATTGGCGAAAGCACCGATTTTTCGCCAAGTGCTACAACTGCCTCGTCAATACATCGCAGCGCATCGCAAAGATCATCTATTGACTCTCGCGACTTGTACAGATCCTACTGCATCCTCCCAGAAATTCCAGAGAACGTTAGCACAGGATAGATTCCGTGCGCACCGACTCGCCAGGCAGCATGTCTACCTCCACCTCCGCCATCAAGCTTCGCCGCAAGAAGAATGTCAAGAAGGGAATTCAGTTCTGTCTGATGGTCTGTGGTGCCTCGGGTACCGGCCGAACAACCTTCGTCAACACTCTCTGCAACCGACCCGTCCTCACACCTCTGGACTCTGATGACCCGACCACCGCGCACCTCGAGGAGGGAGTCAAGATCAAGCCTGTGACTGTTGAGTTGGAGTTGGATGAGGAAGGAACCCGTGTGTCCTTGACCATTGTGGACACCCCCGGTTTCGGTGACAGCATTGACAACGAGGCGTCCTTTGGTGAAATCTCGAGCTACCTCGAGAGGCAATACGACGACATTTTGGCCGAGGAGAGCAGAATCAAGCGTAACCCGCGATTCCGGGACAACCGTGTCCATGTCCTCCTTTACTTTGTTCAGCCCACTGGTGAGTTTGTCGGGCGCATACAAATTTCTCGTCTCTCGATTACTAACCATTTCCACCCCAGGTCACGGTCTCCGCGAACTCGACATTGAGCTCATGCGCCGTCTGTCACCACGTGTCAACGTCATCCCTGTCATCGGCAAGGCCGACTCACTCACTCCCCTGGAGCTTGCCGAGAGCAAGAAGCTCATCATGGAGGACATTGAGCACTACCGCATCCCCGTCTACAACTTCCCTTACGACATCGAGGAGGATGACGAGGACACCGTCGAGGAGAACGCCGAGCTCCGCGGCCTGATGCCATTCGCCATCGTCGGCAGCGAGGACATCATCGAGCTGGACGGCAAGCGCGTGCGCGCCCGTCAATACCCATGGGGTGTGGTCGAGGTGGAGAACCCGCGACACAGCGACTTCCTGGCCATCCGCTCCGCCCTGCTGCACTCGCATCTCGCGGACCTCAAGGAGATCACGCACGACTTCCTCTACGAAAACTACCGTACCGAGAAGCTCTCCAAGAGCGTGTCCGGCACCAACGACGCCGCCGACGACAGCCTCGACCCCCAGAGCCTCGCCAGCCAGAGCGTGCGCCTCAAGGAGGAGCAGCTCCGCCGTGAGGAGGAGAAGCTGCGCGAGATCGAGGTCAAGGTCCAGCGCGAGATCAACGAGAAGAGGCAGGAGCTGTTGGCCCGCGAGAGCCAGTTGAAGGAGCTGGAGAGCCGGATGGTGCGCGAGCACACTCCCAACCACCCGGCCGTCGCCGAGGAGGATGGTGAAGATGCCATCTAAGCAGGTGTTGTATTCCCCTGATTCTTCTCTGGGCCTCAAAGGTCAAACTTCTCGGAAGAGAAAATTGAACTCTTGTTTGAGAAGTCTCTTTTCCTTTGTTCTTTATTCCACGAGTGGTTGCCGCTGTTGTTGTTGTCGTTGCTGTTTCTCCGGCGAAAGTGTCCTCTTTTTTTTCCAGATGCTCTATATCATTTCCACAAACGTCGATAATGCTGGGAAGTGAATAAAGGACCGGGAGTCGTGGAATGACATATGTAGGGAAAAGCAATTAATACCCCCCAAACCGTCTCCGTTCAGTCTTCCTTCCTATGTCGATACTCCACGACAGGGTGAGGGTTCGCACGTCTTTTCACACTCGATCCATTTCTATCTCTCTACGAATATTGCCCAAACTTTATCCCAACTTGGCAGTACAAAACAGCCATTTGGGATGGATGCAATAGAGGTCTGAAAGGACGGGAGTTTGCTTCACACGACCGATCGGGGAAAATAATATGAAATTGGTTGAAGAATGCAATGGTACAAAAAGAGGCCGGTTCTAATACTTGTACACAAAAATGCAAAACTGTGTCCCCAAGAAGGGTTTTGTCGTGCACCTTCTCCCGAGAAATGCTTTTTGTTGTCGCCGGTTCCCTTCCTTTGGGAGCGAGAAATCATTTCTTGGATTCCCTTGTCCCATATAATATACACGCCGCCATTGCGAGAGTCAAAAGTAGGTCCTGCTTGCCGAGATTTGTGCTCGTCCCCTCTCATGTTTCTTTGTCCAGCGAGGCCTTGAGAGCTCGTCAGGAGAATTTGTCGTGAAAAGGTATCTTCGTGTGACCCGAGGAGGACACCGTCGCTCACTGATAAGTGCAGATCGGTTCGATGATTGAATCATCCTTCGTGCTTGATGTGAACCGTCATAATATCTGCCCTAGGAATCTGGTGCGATTTGAGATCAGGTCCAGACTTCGGCCGATGCCCTGGAAATTGGACATCTGCATCACACCAATCCATCTCTCTCCTTATCCCAGGAGGGATGGCTCTGGTATCCTCCCCAATCTTGCCCTTCACCAAGTGCAACCTCCCATCTCATGAAACCACCTTCTCCATCCCTCCCTCTCCCTCCTGCACACTCCCCTCCTCCCCTTTCCTCTTCACATGGGTTTCGAACCGCACGCCTCTGAGCGCACCCTTCTGCTCCCTCTGCGTCTGGGCTCCGCCGGGGAGATATTTGGGCTCCATGAGGCCGATCATGCTGAGGAGTCTCCAGACGGTGTCGCTGGGCTGGGCGCCCACGCCGAGCCAGTATTGCGCGCGGGAGACGTCGATCTTGATGTCCTTGACTTTGCGCGCGCCGTCCTCCGCGCCGACGACCGCTTGCGGGATCGGATCGTACGTCCCGAGCACCTCGAGCGGCTTGCTGTCGCGCGCGGAGCGTGCCTGCGCCAGCACGATGTTGTAGAAGGGTTTGTGCCGCTTGGCGCCGAGGGGCCCGGGGACGCGCGAGAGGCGGAGGCGGAGGACCATTTTTTTTCTGGCGGGAGGGATGTGGAAGAGGATAGGATTGTGGTTCAGGCGGGCGCTGTGCTGGATAGATTCTTCGATGGCGATGATGGGTTGGAGATGTAGCCGTGATTGACTCACTTGGCCGACGATTTGTCTGGGGCCCGGCGGCGGGGTGAGTTGTGATGTGATTTGCAGAATAGAGAGCCCTGAGATGATCGATGGTGATTATTATTACAGGACATTGGATGTTCAGGCCGGAGGTCCGAAAGTATGAGGTATTATGTAATCAGGCTCGCCTCGGTGGACGAGTAGGGTTGCCATGGATTGTGCTTGGGGTTATTTACTCTCCCACGGCCTGAACAGGTTTATTCTGCTTCAGATACAACACGGAAATCCGACATAAAAATGGCTAGAGGTGATCTATGATGGGAAGATATGCAAAGAAATATCTTTCTACCTATTTCTCTTCGCCCATGTCGAGATCTTGAAGACTGGGTGGCCCTGGTTAAAGTCCGAGACGTCGGCTGATGTAAGCCCCATCATGGTAACGCGGGCCACGTGAGCGCGGAACACACGGGGGCGCGGAACGCGACTTCTGAGGATATCGACACGTCAACTTCAACACGCGATGGCACCACCGAAACGCGTGCAATCAAGTCCAAATGAAGGAAGCATATTGCTTGCTATATCGGCTATTAGATCAGGCGAAATCAGTTCCATGAGTGCTGCAGCGAAAGCATTCAATGTCTCTAAAACAACACTTCATCGTAGACTTCAAGGAACCCCTTCACGAGAAGATTATATACCACAGAACATGAAGCTCAGCCTAATAGAAGAAGAGGCCCTTCTCCAAGGTATATTGAAGCTAGATTCTCAAGGATTGTCCCCAACTGCAAGCCTAGTACAATCAATGGCCAATGCCATCTGCCAAGCTAAAGGAATTTCACCAGTTGGCCGCAACTGGACCTACACATTTATTAAGCGTACTCCTATCTTGACAATCAAACTAGGAAGGACTTACGAGTGTCAAAGAAGATTGTGTGAGACTCCGGAAGTCATTGAAAGCTGGTTCGCCCTCGTACGCAACATAATCAACAAGCATGGCATCTTGCCTGGAGACATGTACAACTTCGATGAGACTGGCTTTCAACTAGGACAAATATCTACCTCCAAAGTAGTCACTTCTGTTGAGAAGCAAGGCCGGCCAAAGCGGATCAAACCTACAGGCATTGAATGGGTCACAGTGATCCAAGGAGCTTGTGCAGACGGATCAGCTATACCGCCATTTATTATCTTCAAAGGCAGAGAAGTCAACTATGGATGGCTTGATGAAGGCTTGCCTGCAACATGGATGTTCACAGCGAGTCCAAAAGGCTGGACAAGCGACCAAATTGGACTGCAATGGATCCACCACTTCGCTAAACACACAAAGTCGAAGACAATTGGCAGCAAGCGGCTGCTGATTTTAGACAACCATGGGAGCCACACGACACCAGAGTTTACTTCTTTTTGTGAAGATAACAACATT